TCTCTTTCGATTGGTGAAAACCGCAAATCTCTAGTTGCTTGCGTTCTCGAGTTATTCAAAAAACAGTGGTTGACATTATATTTTGAAACGGACAATAGTTCTTTTTATTCATCGCACCATGATCGACAAAAGTACACATCGATGTTTTTTTCTTTTCTTTTCTTTTCACTGTCAAGAAAAATTAGTTTTATTGAACTTTGGACCACACAACTAGAATTCTGCTCGTAATTGTCATTTTTCTTCTTCAAAATCAAGCGTTTATGTAATAAAATTGTTATTTTCGGAATCAGCATAAAATATTACGTCAATTGATGTAGGTCTCTATTGTTTTCAATGACATCTGTTTTTTTTTTCCGAGTTTTCATCTGAAATGATGGTGAGCATTGTGTCAAAACAAAGAAAGATCATAAAAACAGTGGAAATCTATATCAATCGACTCAGTTTTTTATGCTAATTCCAAATATAACAATTTTATTACATAAAAGCTTACTTTTGAAGAAGAAAAATGACAATTACGGGCGGATTTCTAGTAGTTTAGTTCAAAAACCAATACATACTCTTATCAATCATGGTGGACTGAATAAAAAGAACTAAGGTACTTTCCTGTTATCCTGACTACCCTCAACACACACACCTTCACCCTCATCCTGCGGTGGTCGGGATAACAGAAAAGTACCTACACTATTTTGGACTAGAAATGATTTAACAGTGTGTTTATACTTACTGTTTCATGCTGAATCAGCAAAAGAATATTTTCAGAATCTTTCAACTGGAGTGAGACGTAAAAAACTGTGTAATTTGAAAAAGGTGTGTTTTTTGCGAGGAAAACATCTATCTGGTTTTTAAGATTTTTCAACCAGAAAAAATGATTCACAAACATTAAAAGCTAGTTTTTCGTGATGAACAGCTCACGCTCTATCAAACTATGTATAAAAAAAAGGGGTAGAAAAACTAATTCAACTTGAATTTCGAATTATGGTCATTTTAAGTATTTTTAAAAATATTTTTTCAGATAGACTATTCAATATAACAACATGGGTACATTAATGGGTCATATTTTACCTGGTACATTCTTTGCTATATTTGCTATATGGTGGGGTTTTTGTGTTGCTGTAAAACATTTTCATTCTCGTCATTCAAGAAATAAATTACGAAAACCAAATCCATATCGTTCGTCAATAACATTTTCATGTTTATGTTGTCCATCATCAGCATTACGACAGATGCCTCTTGAATCTTATTTAAAATTAATTTGTGTAATTATTGGTATATTAGGTGAAGGTGTAACTGGTCTTAAACATCGGTATAATGATACATTAAAAAGACAAACTTGGATATTTGTTGAAGTTAATGCACAACATATAGCAATGTTTTTTTCATTTGGTTTTGCATCATTTATTGAAATACTTGTTTATGCAAAATATAATTTACCAAAAGGAATTGAATATATAGTTAATATATTTGCATTAGGTGTTGAAGGTCTTTTATTTCATTTTCATCTTCATGGTAGAAATGAAATTGATATTCATGTTCATACATTACTTGTTTATAATATTGTATTTTGTGTTTGTGCTTCTATTTGGGAATATAATCGACCTAATGAAATTTTGGCTACTTATTGTCGTATTGCTACAATACTTTTACAAGGAGCTTGGTAAGAATTTAAAATAAAAAACAAAAATTTTTGTTTTTACTAGAAAATAATCTCCTTTCTTTTTTGAACTATTTAAGGTTTTATGCAGCTGGTTTTATTCTTTATTTTCCATCGAATGATCCTTATTGGCTATGGGCACCAACTCATGGAAGTATACTTATATTAACTGTTATATTTGTATGGCTTGGTCTCTTGATTTGTATGTTTCTTTTTATTCAATCAGCATTAGTATGGTCAATTTTAAGACGACGTTATAGAAATCTTGCGCGTTATAGCGCACTTAATGGTGACGATGGCGATAATGATGAAACAGATACTGAAGAAAAGATTGAAAATTCAAATACTCATCAATTAAAGTCATTTAAAACAAATAATGGAAATGCGATTATTAATATAGATAATCATGCAGATGATAATAGTGATAGTCAAATTGAATTTGAACAGCAACAAAAATATACGTCAACAATATAATTCTATAACAGTCTAAACGTATATTTCTGTGATGAATGTTTGTGTTTGTGTATTGAACGGTTCCTTTCTTTTTCTTACATTGTTTTTAGTCGTATTGAGAAATAACACACGTATCTTTGTGCTTATTTTTCAGAGCTTTATTTGTTGTCATTTATTCTATAAAAAAACGAAAGAGTTCTTAATCAAGTCATATTCCAATCAATTTCGTAGAATCTTTTTGTATTGTTGGTTTTTCTAATAAGTATTTGTTTATGTATACTATTGCGGTGTTTTGTTTGATTGTAATTATATATAATCATATGTTTTCTTTCCTGTTTTTTGGTATACATGAAGTTTCAGATTTATGATAACGAAATAGAAATACGAGCAAAAAGAAAAATGGAAAGTATTAGAAATTCTTTTTTTCTTTTTATTGATATTTATTTGTTTTTGTAGACAAGTAAATATTTTCAAAATCGTATAGTTACAATGGCTACCAATATTATTTTACAACGTTTATTATTTTCGGTGTCTTTATTGATGAAAAAAAAAAAGAGTTTAAATAGTGATTCGAATAGAGAAAAATAAAAGTAATAAACATATTCCCGAAGATGGATTACGTAAATAATATTTTATTTGGATTATACGAAAAGATTGGCTGAGATACAACAATCTAATTGAAGGTCTTAAATTGAATTTTTTGTAGAAAAATGGCTTCCAGTAAAATTGGTGTATTTCAGCCAAAAATAGTTGTACAAAGCTTGGAAATGTCTCGTTTTGTCGAGAATTCTTTACACTATCTTTTCGTATAGTATAAATAAAATTCTATTTGCATATTGCAAGTACTGAAAAACTGAAGGTTTGGTTTTCTAAAAACTCTATCTTTCGGAATCTGGTTATTAGTTTTATTTTCTTATATACAGTATGCTCTATTCGAATCACTATTTCGATTCTTTTGAGCTATTAAGACAATGGCGAAAAAAAAATTTGAAATAAACCTTATTGAATAATTTTGGTAGCTATTTCATGTATATTTTGTGATCAAAATTGAAATTGTTTTTTTTTTTTTGATGGACAGGAAAAAGTAAACTCTTGATAGCAGAGAGTGTGGGTCTGGATTGTATCCAATGTGTGGCTGTTTAGTTTTAGATATGGATAAGATCTATATTCCACCCGTATCATAGATGTCCATAGCGACTGAAAATCTACCGTTGCCGTCATGATATTCCATAAGCTCTTCGAAAATCTCTTCCGTCACTGTGCTAAATTAGCACACTTAGATTTAAAACCATAAGATTCACCACGATTGTGATTGTGGATTTGTAAACACTCAAACCGAATGCAAATTCATGCAACTTTACAATCTTCCTAAAAAAGAAGCTATTACTACCGCGCCGCCACGAATATCTTCGATACACATGTACCATATCCACACTCTCATATAATATTTGTTAATAAATTTTGCGAAATAAAAAAAAACTGTTGCTATTTTAATTATTTGTCTTTCTTTACCTCTTCCTGTTCATCAAAATTAAAATCTCAATTTCGACTACAACATATACATGTTTGAGTTCTTATAATATGTTGAATAAAATAGTCCATATCAAATTCATTATTAAATGGCATTTCATACGACACTTGGATTTTATAATCAATGAAAAGGCTTTCTATAAAATGAATTGATCTCTAATAAGCATACCTATTATAAACAAACGAGTGTAGCTAATGTGTTGAAAAAAAGTTTAACAACAATGTATTTTTGATATTTTTCTATAAAGTTAAACATCTAGCTCAAGTCCAGATAGTGATTTTAATAACCTATAGAGTTTTCTATGGTATCGCGACTGTTGCTTTCTAGACAGATGCTCCCGCGACAAGATTCTGGCCGTGGATGCGAGTGCGATTGTAGATGTGAGTTTGAGAAACACTATGGCTCTAAATATCCATCACTTCTTCGCTCATTCAGATCCACAATCGTGTTGCGAGAACAAGTGTCCGAGAAGCAACTGTCGCTGGGGAGCAAGCGTTGCGAAAGCATGTGTCCGGGAAACACCTGCTGTTAGGAAGCAAGTGATAGGGGAGCAAATGTCGCTGGAGAGGAAGTGTCCCGAAAACAACTGTCGCGGGAGCATCTGTCATGAAATCGTTTTTCTGTATCATGCAATCTGTACCGGATGAACTATATATAATGGCAAGGTTTTTAAAACACTGGACACAAGACTTTGTGGAAGCTATTTTTTAACGGTGCTATTTTAAAGAGAGTAAATTGAGCGGTCGCGGCATTTTCTACGATCTTTCCTTAAAAAGTAAAAGTATCACAAAAAAGCGAAATTTGTCAAAAAAATCACTACAAAACTCCTTTTTTCTTCCAGTTTTTGTGATACTTATAACTTTTTACGGGAACGTCGTAGAAAATATGGCGACTCCTCATATTGTTCTCTTTAAAATTGTATAGTTAAAAAACAGTTTCGACAGAGTCTTGTATGTGATTTTTTAGAAACTTTACTATCATAGTTCATCTTGGATAGAGTGCAGTAGATAGAAAACTCCATTGTATATCAAAAATCACTATCTGGATTTGAACTAGGTATTTAACTTTATAAAAAATATCAAAAATACATTATTGCTAAATTTTTTCCACCGCTTTATATACATCATGCTACCAAGAATTTTAATAAAAAATTATTTTCTTTGTTTGTCATACAAATGAATATTGTTCAAACCGTGTTTATATATTAATTTCAATCATAAAAACATGGAATCTATTCTAATGTAACATCATGAACATTTTTGTATTGATTACATTATTTGACATGATATTGATTAAACAATTACAAATTGTACAATAATCTATCGGATCTAAGTTCAATCTTATTTTAGATAAAATAAAATAAAAATGTTTTTTCGAAATTTATTTCGTAAAAAACATTCTATTATTAATGATTTAAATACTCCACTTTTACGATGTTTAAATTTATTTGATTTAATATTTTTATCTGTAAGTGGAATGGTTGGATCGGGTATTTATGTTTTGACTGGAGTTGTTGCCAAAACACAAACTGGACCAGCAATTATTATTTCGAATTTATTAGCTGGTTTAGCTTGTCTATTTGGTAATGAAATAAAGATATAAAAATAAATGTTTTCTCTTTTTTTTTAATTATTTATAATAGGTGCTCTTTGTTATGCTGAATTTGCTGCTCGAATTCCAAGAGCTGGTTCATCATATATATTTATTTATGAATCAGTTGGTGAAATACTTGCATTTCTTGTGGTAAAATTTTTCTTCTTTGTTTTTCATAAAGAAAAAGAACAAATTTTTAACAATTGACTTTTTCTTTTCAAAGGGATTTACATCGATTGTTGGTGGATTGGCTAGTTTAGGTGTTAGTGCTCGAGTATGGTCGGCATATTTTGATACTTTATTCAATAATAAAATTCATTCTTTTATTATTAAATATATTATTTATTGGCCAAATGCTCCAGCACCATTTGCTAAATATCCTGATCTATTAGCTTTTAGTATAACTATATTAATTATTTTAGCTATGCTTGCTGGTTTACGAAATTCAAAATATTTAACAAATAGTTTAACTATTGTGAATATGTCTGCTCTAGTTTTTATTGGTATAACTGGATTTATTCTTGGTGATATACATAATTATCAATCGTTTATGCCATTTGGAGTACAAAGTATTTTTCGTGGTAGTTCTTTATTACTTTATTCTTATATTGGATTTGAAATGGCAACTATTGCTATAGAAGAAGCAAAAAATCCATCGAAAATAGTTCCACAAGCTACTGTTATATCACTTCTTATTGTTACATTACTTTATTCATTAGTTGGAGCATCATTAACATATTTAATTTCATATAAAGATATTAATAGTGAATCATCATTTGCACATGCATATGGATTATCAAAATGGCCATGGGCACGTTATTTAATTTCAATAGCTATTGTGTTTAGTGCTGGTGGAAATTTACTTTCTGGTACATATGGAAATATTCGTGTAATGTAAGTTTTTTTTGTTTAAGTTAAATAGTATTTTTAAAAGAATCAGAAAAGATGAGAATATTGAACTGATCTTATATATTTATATTAAGTTATGTAGAACTTCAAATTGAAATCTAGTAGAATCTAAGAAGTTGTAGAATTCGTCAGTATGTTCATTTGAAATTTAGTTTGTGTTAGCAAAAATCGACCGAGAAAAAACAAAGAAAGGATCTTTAAGCTTATATTTACTTCAGTAGTCGATGTTTATTAATTAATCTGGCTCATAGATGATATACTAAGTATGAACTTATTGTGTTGTTAATCCTTAAACGTCAAGAACGGTTTTTTGACAATGAGAAAAAACTAGACCGCTAAAATAGAGATTCTGGACATTCAGTATGATTATATTATAGTTAAAAAAAATAAACTTTTTTTTCTTATAGAAACACAAAATGTCTCTTAGCAGGAACATTCAGTTATTAAGGATTAAGTTTTTGATGAGTAATGTTCCAGTCAAAGACAATGAAGAACTTTTTAGCGTATATATTTTCTGTAGTAAAATAATAAATATGTTCCTTCGAAATTTAATGCTCAAAAAACTAATATGTTGATTTACTTGTTCATAAAAATACTTGCAAATATCATTTTCTGATTTCGATGCAAAATAAGTCATTTGTGTATATATTACAGACAAAATTAGAATTTTAATTTTGATCAGACAAAATCAGAATTCGACTAGAGATAAATTCATACAATCAAAATGATTAAAATCTAAATAGGATAATTATTTTTTTTTTATTCAACAATACCTTTTCATTTCACTAAACAATTTACAAGACAAAATATTTTAATCTATTCATTCATATTTGTACTACCACTTTGTTTTGAATGGCATTTTGTCGAACAAAAAACTTTAATTTGTTTCTACAAGAAAATTTTTTTTTGTAGTGCTATTACCTTTACCATCGTATGTACAACTGATTTATTTATTAGATTGTAGAGGATGCATCTATATTTATATCACTTATCACTTTATCTCTGGTTGAATTCTCACATTGCCCAGGAAAAAAATAGAATTTCTGTTCTGACTTATGCATGTCTAGTCAATATTAGAATTCTAATCTTACCTGATTAAAATTAAAATTCCAATTTAGCCTACAGAAAATAGATTAGAATATGAATAAATGAAGATCAATGCTCTATATACTTAAAAAAAAACAAGTATATACTATGTTCTCTTATTGAAAATGAAAATTAGAATTGATTTTTAAATAAAAGAAAATTATATCGCAGTTTTATGTCTAATTAAAAATGAAATCTGTTTAACGAAGGGAGTCCTCGAACTGATTAATTGCTTTTGCGTCATGTTTATACGCATTATATAGATCCTAATAAGCAATGAATACACTGGAAAGAGTTCAGACCTTTATCTTATTGCTGGCGAGATATTGCATTATTACGGTATTTATTAGATAAATATCATGGTTCAGAGAAACTTTCCATAAAGACTGACCTTACCGAGAATAGTTTATTGTGAAAGTTTCAGGTCATTATGTTGTTTCTATTTCAGGAAATGAGCAAATCATAAGATCTGAAGCTTTCACAGTAAACTATTCTTGCTGAGAGGAGAATCCACTTTCCGAATGTTAAAACCAAAACTTTTTCGATCTTTGGTTTTTCGTCGCTAATATAGCTTTGAAATGTACCCTATCAAATGCTGTATAAATAAGGGCTCTTCATTGTTAGTTAGTACTTTTATTCAACCCAATTCTCGAAGTTTCTAGCAGGAAAACTCGAATTGCAATTATTCTTTGTATGCAAAATTCTTCTAAGGATAATTTCTAAAGGTGCTGAGAGCATAGATCATGCGTCTCTAACATCGCTGAACACAACCAGTTTTTGATCATTTAAGTTGGAGACAGAGTCCTGATATATACCGGAAAATTTGTTTTTCTCGAAATCAAATGTGCAGAATCACCCACGTCTTTACGACATATATTCTATCATTGATGGTTGGTAGATTTTACAAAAGAAAACATATATTTTTGGAGGTATGCTCAGTATTGTGATCTTTTTATTCGAATGGAAGAAGATATCCCCAACACTATCTAGTATCTGTTAAAAAATTTTCAGCTCTCTCAAACATACTTCGACTGAGAAAGCGACCGATTCTAAGCCTTTGCGACTCAGATATTTCCTACAAGGAAGTATTTCAGAATTTCAAGCCTATGAAAACTTTTGCTGTGTTCATCAGGATCCATCTACCTTGAAAGTTTCAAATATTTCTAATGAGCCGTTCTGCAGAAAGGGGAAGGAACAAGTAAAGAAATATCGTAAAAATACAGCATCTCAGCAGCAATAACCTAAGCACCCGAACTGTTTTCAAGGTATTCATAGATCATTAAGGTCTACATGATTCATATAGTCCAGACTTCAGAATGATTAATCAATTGAGGTACTTTCTCTCATAAGTTTATTTTTATCTAAAGTTCAATTTTGCTTATGTGACATCTATATTTTTTATTATAGGTATGCTATGTCTACAGATGGATTATTACCATCGAAATTAAGTTATGTAAGTGAAGGACGACATGTTCCAGTTATAGCAACGTGTTTAACTTGTGTTACTATTGCACTTCTTGGTACATTTTTTGATATAAAAGTATTAAAAATGAAAATAAATTCTATAATCTTCATCTTAATTTTCTTTTTATTATATATTAAGGATTTAATTGGTTTTGCTGATATTTCTGCATTACTTAGTTATACGGGTGTATCTATTGGTTTACTTATCGAACGATATAATCATCATATACCCTATCGAATTTTATTGACTAATGAAAACGAACAAGAAGAATGTGAAATGTTTGAATTAGATGATGAAAAAGATGACATTCAAGATGTTGAATTAAATAATATATTAGAACAAGATCCACTTTTAACACGAATAACACGTTCATTGTGTTGTTCATATATATCATTAATTGATTTATATTTATCTCCGAAAATCTCAGCAATTATATTACTTTTAATATTTATTCCAAATACATCTCTTTTAGCTATGATGATTATTTATTTATATAATCGAAATAATTTATTACATATGGTACTAATTATCATATGTATATTTATTAATTTAACAATAACACTTATTTTTTGTTTATTACGTCCAAAAAAATCTACAGAAAATCTTCTTTTTACATGTCCTGGAGTTCCATTAATACCATTAATTAATATAAATATTTTTATTTTTCTTATGATTTTTCAAGATACTCATGATTGGTTTGCATATATGTGTATTATTCTTATATCTCTTCTAATATATTTTTCATATAGTTATTGGCATAGTAAAGCACGTTGAATTGTTTTTTGTTTTTTTTTTTCTTCGTCTTATGTTATTAATAACTTAACATATTTATGTATAAGATCGTAATACAAAAATATAAAAGAAACATAAAAGTTATTTTGTAATTTTATTAGATCTAATAAGACTAAAATGTCATGCATTCGGCTTTAACAAAACAGAAAAGAGTAAAAAGATTCTAATCTTCTCAAGGAAAAAAAAGCAATTATATTATTGCTAATAATTTGATGTATATTAGTAAAATGATTTATAATTCAATTCTTGAATAGAAAATTTCTATGAAAAAAAAACAAACATTCTAATTCTGATCATGCTATGATCAAGAAAAAGATGAAATATGATGGCATGTTACAATACAATGATTACTTCAGTATTCTTAGATGTTCAAGTTCCATTATCAGAAAGATTGTCTAAACATTTATATTAATATGTTGGATAATTGTGATGTCTCTGTCTATGTACTTAAACAAATAATGGATTATTACTTGACCTCCAAGAAACTTTCTTCAAGCATGAGAGATTAAAACAAATGTGAATTTATCTCGCTAGAAAGTATGTTTATTTTGGGTTCAATGTATAATAATTTAATATAATGTTGCACTTTCTCCATGTTTAAGTTTAGTAAAAAAAAAAAACAACAACAACAACAACAACAGTTTTTTTATTTTGATTTCATAAGATCGTTTACATAAGTACTAAAAATTATTTGATTGAATATTTTCATAAAGTAAAAATTTCTTTACAAAAAATAAATGATATTGAACAAAATCGATAAATAATTTCTCAGGAATTATTTTCTATGTGTAATAGCTTTTGTTAAAAAGTCAATTTTCCATAAATTATCTTTACAAGTAAACGAACATGTAAGTGACATATTAAAAACAAATAAATAAAACCAACAAAAATAATCCTGTCTTTGGAATGCAATTTTCATCAATCAAATTAATGTATTCAGAAAGACTTCAATAATTAGTTGCATATTAGAAAAAAAAAAGAATTATTTCTAGATCTATAATTACCCGTAGTTTGACTAAAGAAAGATTTTATATTGCATATCCATCATAATTAATATATAGTGAAATCAACAAGCATATAACAATTCTATACAACTGATTGTTTGTATTATATTCTGTTTCTTTTTTTTTTTTGGGCATGATTAAAAACTCTTTCTATTTCACTAATCATTTTTATACTATGGCATATATCTAGGCCATGTCTAAAAGCAATTTTCTTCTGTTTCTTTTTTTAAGCACAAGATCAAAGCATCTCTCTATTCACTGCATGGACTATTTCATTATAAAATTATCGAGCATGCAACAAAAAAAAATCAATATTCAAATAGCTAAAACCAAATTATTTTGTTTTTAGAACAGAAAAAATAAAGACGTGCTTATAAAACTCGAAATGATTTTACATAATATAGATTTTGCGCATCGTACTATTTAATTGATCAATTTATGGATTATATTATAATCTATACAATATAGAAGCTTATCATTACTGAATTTCAAATACCAAGCAATAATAAATAGTAAGTATATTAGGGTTATTATAGATCAAGCAAATATTTTTACTAAGAATAAGTTGAAGCAAATTAATGAAAGACAGAAAAATTGTGAATAATGACAAGAAAATGAAGGAAAAAAACTCAAGAACGACAAATTCAGAGATGACAAATTCAGAAATGACAAATTCTATTTAATTTTTGCTCTATTATGTCTTGTTATTTTCAACAAAAAAAAAAAATAAAGGAAAGGTTAGGAAAAAAAAACATGCATAGACGATAGGAAACAGAAAAATCATAGTATACGATAATACAACATTGTAATTATTGTGTTCTTTTTTTTATACTTGATTGGACAATCATTTTATTCTTCATTTTTGTCCTAGATAACTTGACGGATGATGCATATATGTTATTAGGTTCTTTTGACTTTAGTCTATTCATATAAGTCAAACGAAAACCACCATCATTCAATATGAGGTAATGTTGTCTATCTACTTTTCTTGTTATTTAGTCATTAAATCTTTTAAGTTTTCTCTTTTTTTTTTTTTTTGTAATCACAATTGTAATCTAAACATCAATTTTAATATGTGAAAGAAGAGAAACTAAAAAAAAGAATGTCAGAAAGACAGGTGGAAATTGATTAAACATAATATAACGAGGAATGACTCTCTCAGTATTTTGCGGATAGTTTTCTTAATTGTGGAAACTTTGATAGTTTTTTTCGAAAAGATATACGATAAGATTCAATGTAAAACAATAGCTAACAAAAAAATCATATCCAGTCAGTAGTACTATACTATAAAAAATGTCTATTTTCTATCTACTATTTTAAATTTTAGAATTTTTCCGTTGATTTTCGATCTATTACAAAAAATCTGTATACGTTATTTTGTGATCTATTAGTAGATGTATTACTTAAGGGAAGAGAGAGTGTCGCTCTTAAAAATTCCCCTTAAGCTTAATCAGTTTGCAGATAATACTTTCAATATGATGCCTACGCAATAAAAATAAACACATTGATAAATTGTTGACTAAGTTCTCCATCGACTAAGGTCAAAGTTAATTGAAGATTGTGAATTAAGAAGTATTCTTTTAAACTTCTAGTGTTTCATATAAATGTTAGATTCAATTGATCCTGGTGTAATTTTACAACCAACTGTCTGTTGAAATAAATCAACACAAAAAAAAACATATTACGTATGACTTTTTCTGTGTGTACCATTTAATTACTAATTAGTGATACTCGAGTGTAAAAAGTAAATTTTCCTTATGTCAGAACATATCGAAAGAAAAAGTTTGATATCATAAACAACATGATACGATACTGACTTGTATTTCACCATTATATTTCTATTTACGGTCAAAGGGTATATGATAATCGGGATCAGCATTAAAAACTAAGGGGAATCATATATTTTGTTGACAAAAGAAAATTTTTGTCACAATGACATCTGTATTCTTCTTCAGCTTCTCTAAAAATAATTTCATCCATAATCCCTCCGGTATGCGGTTTTGGGACAAGAAAAAAATTTTCTTTTCTCGTAGAAAATATACAATCCGACTCAGTTTTTGTATGATGATTTCGATTATCATATCCATTTTGACAATAAATAGAGATATAATCGTCGAATACGAACCAATTTTGTCGCATATTATTTATGATATCGAATTTTTTTTTTCAAAATTGGAAGTTTTCAAAAGAAATAAGTTGTGGGTATTCAATAGAACTTAATCATATGCTATCAAAATGATATATTGCATGACTTTTTGCAATAGGAAAATTTACTTTTTTACACCAAAGTGTCATTTATTAGTAATTAAATGACATACACACACACACACACACAAAAGTCATACTTAATATGTTTTTTTTTGTGTGGAATTATTTCTAAAAATAGTTGTCGACAAAATTACACCAGAATCAATTAGATCTAACATTAATATGGAATATTAGACTTTTAAAAAAAATGATCCTCGACCTACAATGTTCAATTAACTTTGACCTTAGTCAATTAAAGGTTCAGTCAATAGTTTATCAACACTTGTTCTTTTTGTTGCATAGACATACTCTCGACGGTATTCTCTACAAACTGATAAAACTTGAAGGTATGTTTAGGGGGACAACATCCCCTCCGACGCGTTTTCTTAACTAAATACTTTTTTTTTGATTTATCATAAATCTTTCTGCATAGAAGATTTTGTTTGTCTTCTCTTATCCACGTTACAAAGGATCATCTATAGAGTTTCATCAAAATTTTGCTTTATTTACATCAAATATACTATTCATATAGATTCAGAGTTACTCCCAAATTCAAGGAAGAATATTCTTCTATGAAATTAGACTCGAGTGAACTGTTGTAAAATCTCTTGTCTGTAATAAATGGCTCGACTAAGAAGAATTATCATCAGTTCCAACTTATTTAGGAAGAAGACTGACTATTAGAACTTCATAGATGTATTTCAAGGTTTTTCTTGAGCTCTTTTCGAAAGAGAATACTTGAAAATAAAAGCTATTTACTTTAGAATGATCTAGAATGTGTTTATTCATACGAAAAGGAAATAATTATTTGAAAGTGAACATTTTTGTTTTGAAGTACAGCATGCCAGATTGACTATGATTTCCTTATTATTCTTTGCATAGTCATTTTGATTATATTTTATAGAGAATTTCATGATTCATCTTTTGAAAAGACATTGAAAAATTTGAGAAAGATATTCTCAAAAAAATACTGAGAGAATCATTCTTTATGTGTCGTCTGTTATAATGATACTGTAATAAAATTTCATACGAACTAATCTCTTATAGAAAAAAACCAAGAAAAAATGATTTATTAAATATTAATAAAATATAAAATTTATTGCTCTCAATATATCCATAAAATAAACAAAAAAAAATGTTTTTGAAATAAATCCTAAATATATCCTAATTCATATATATTCAGTTGTTTATTGCTCTTATTATCTATTAAATCTTATCGCAATATGTTAACAGATTATTTCTTTAACATATATAATCTATATATAAACATCTCTACTATTAAACTTCTAAAATATAACAAATGTCTTTTTATCTGTTTTATTGAACTCATCGAAAAAAACCTATCAGTTTTTTTTTTCGATCAATACAATTTCTTATTATTATATCGAAATAACATAAAATAAATTTTGATGCTTCTCTCGATTGAATTTTGTAGATCTGTTTATATTGTACCAAAATACTTTTTTTTGTTCGGTTCATCTAAGTGTAATTTATGTAAGCCGTAAAATTGATATTAAAATTATTCATTAGTAATTAAATTTTAATCTATGACTATATTCATCTACTCTCTATAAGTGTTAATTTTTATCAGTATAGAAAACATATTCAAGCTGTTTCAAAATAAAAAGAAACGGCCTCGAATAATAAAAATTTAATTAATATGCGACTTCGTAGTTCGCTTCAATTGATTTTTATTACTAAAAAATAAACACAAATTTCAATCAAACACGTATTGTAAAGATAAATATATCATAGAATTTTTTTCCATTGAACTTAACTATGCTTCAAATTAGTAATGCCCACGATATTTTTGAGTATCTATTAATAGTAAGATTGAAAGAATAAAATGTAACGTGATTCTTGCTAATAGTAAAAAGAAAAAAACTATATTTATCATAGTTTTTTTAAAACAACTGTTAAAATATTTAATCTCATTTCGGAAATGTTTTATGTTGAGAACTCCATGCCTATTCTCTTTCAATATTTATATGGTTTATAGACTACTCGAACTCTGTGACCTAAATAAGCATAAATATGACAGCATGAGTCTCAGCTATTGTATAAAAAAAAAACATTTTTTATTTATTTAGTTGAATGCTCTCATTACTTTCATATATATATATATTCTTCTCTACATTTCACAAGAGTTATTGTTGTCACTTTTCTCATAAAAAATATACGAAATAAAAAAGAAATTATATAATTCACAAGAGGAATATAACACATTGTATTCAAAACCAATTATTTATTCATATGATCCGCTTAAATAGTTGAACAGTTGGATAAAATAAAGATAGCATATCAGATTATGTTACTAAGAAAATATTCATAAAGCGATATTTATGCAAGTAAGTTAATTGGTTTTTTTTTATTGAATTCAAAAAATACCAAAAATAAAATTGATACATTATTTGAAATAACCATAAATAATATCTTAGAATCTAATTGAATTTTTCAGTTTATGTTGAAGAATCTCTCTAGTCAAGAGTCAGCTGAAGTTTGAATAGATTTTTAAAATAGAAAAAAATACTTTATTTTTTTTTAATATAGAAAAAGAAAAACAAATTTATTTTTAAAAGCTAGTGTTAAAAAACAACAAAACATGTTCAAGATAATTATATAATAATAGGTTTTGATAAATAGATAACAGACATTGTTTTTGTATATATTCTTCTAGAACATTTGTTAAGAAAGAGATAGATCAAAAGAGGAAAAGTATTTTTAGTGCTCTTAATGGATTTTCTCTCGTTTACTTAATCATGCATCATATTCTTCTTCCGTTTGGTTTGTCTATATGGAAAGAAGCAGTGAAATTTTTTATATACTGTGTAATCAAATGCTTATTATCAGTAAGACATAAATATATTAATCTAAAGAGAATTCAAGACAAGTAGAAGATTCCGAAGTACAAATAAAAAGCTTCGAGCTATTATATTCTGTGTGTTCTTTTCTTTTTTAAAGTATCGATGTAAAATTTCAGTTCGTTTGATTTTATGAATACATTATTATGTGTAAAAGAATCTTGTCTTTCATATTTGCTCAGTAGACAGATTGCTTGGATACGAGACATCAAGAAAAAAACCAAACAAATGTATCTTAGCTAACTAAATTATTTTTTTTGATTAGCTAAATTTAATAGTAACTTCAGTTTCAGTAAATCAATATATAATTATTATTTTTACTATTACTAATAATAATTACAAACTACTTTTATTTCATTGTATTTTTCTGTTTTATTTTTTCTGTAATGCCTTTTTCAAGAGAGTGAATGAGAAATAGAGAGAAAGTAAGCTAGTTTACTATCAAGCAAACTTACTTTCCTGACAATTTTATTGATTTAATGTTTGCTCTTTTGAGCACTCTCATTTTTGGTTGAACAAGAGCTAATCAATGAATAAAAATATTTACTTTCTACGTATTTCTATTTGACTGTTTTTTTTATCTATTGAAATTGGTAATTTGATCGATGGAAAAGATATTTTTCAAATGTAAGTATTCCTTCTTAGAATATCCGAACTATGTGCGTGACAATGATAAACTAAGAATGTGTTTTCTATTATCAAGTAGCTTACATATTCCTCCTACAAGACGATCGCAAACATGATAAGAATAATAACTATAATGCGAATATAGTTTTCTTTGTATTTATCTTCACTACAGTAAATTTCTAATGGTGTTACACATTGTATGATTAAGAGAAAAAAAAAGTAATGTATTCAAAAAAAAAGGGTTGTATGTTGTAGTTTATTGAATAGAATAATTCAAATTTCCGCTTTCTTTTTCAGAAAGTGTATTTCATAAGTAGCATTGACTAAGATACATTAATCTCATGATTTTGTTTGTTTGGTTTTTTTTTTATACTTTATTCACCTTGTTATCATTAATGATAAATTGGTGTTTATACTGATACAGTTTCATTTCAATCAACTATCTCTATATTTTTTATTTGGTTTAATTGAACACTCAATTGAAAGAAACAAGCGGATGAATATTTTCATAGTCATTTTCTTTTTCTCCCAACGACATCTCTTGTTTTCCATTGCAAGTTATTGTATTATTGAGATTGTTTACAGTAGATTATGAATGTGATCTGTCAAAGAATGTTAAGTCTACTATAAACAATGTATAAGAGAGTCACATAAACAGAGAAACTTTTTTTTTGTCCATTGTACGCTAATATTACTGTAATTCACATTACTCCTGTCGATCAAAGTTCTGTTATAATATAGAAAGATAGTAAAAGAGAGAGAGAGAGAAAGCAAAAGAATGTGTCAGAGAAAAAGACAGATTAACAATTTCTATACTGTAACTGAACTGGCATTACATTATGCCCTTTTCTGGGAAAAATTATATGTATATATAGATATATAGATACCTTCTCTTAGTTCTCAAATAGATAAATGGAATCTATTATTGTGTGTTTTGTATGTATTTTAGTCTTATTAATTGAATCATTTTTTGACGTAATGTTGCCTCGTTCAACAGCTTTATTACAATCAATTTCACAAAATCGATCAGATATATTTTTAACTTCAACTATAGTTCAACAATTAATGTTTAATACAACACTAAATATTGTATCATCAGATATTAATGATAATCCTCAATTTGATGAAGACAATGGTAATAGTTCACTTGTTCATTATAGAATGCTTTATCGTAATTATCATGGTTTTATATCGAGTATTGTATGTATATTTGGTTTAACATGTAATTTATTTAATATTATTGTTTTAACTCGTCCATTGATGCGTTCATCAACAAATACGATTTTAACATCATTAGCTTTATCAGATTTACTTAAAATGTTATTTGTTTTACCAGCAGTTATTATTTTTTATTGTTTACCAAAAGATGAAGCTAAAAGTGAACCTGATCCAACATCATATTTTCAAGTTAGATTTTATATGATACAAATGTTATTTACATTAACATTACATTGTATTAGTACATGGTAAGAATAGAAAACAAAAAAAAAAAAAATTTTTAAAAGATTAATTTATTAGTTTGAAAATTTATTACTTATAGTCTAGACATATTTATGTTTTTTTAAAAATAATTGAAAAATAATAACAACAAAAAGAGATATTTGCATGTGTCCTTTCGGTTTTAATCGTAGTCGTTTGAGTTTATATAGTAAGAAAAGTAAACTCTTTGTTATATATACATATTTAATCATGCAATTTCATGATGAAAATCTTTTACATTCAAATTATTGTTTATTCATAATGATACGTTGTCAACACATGAATTCTTAAAAGAAAAATGTCTACTTGCGGAAAATCGTTAGAAACTCTTCTGTTTACTTTTAATATAATTTTTAACCTGTTTCATATAAATGCAAAACAATAATACATGCAATAATATGCATGTTACAAAACATACGCCTGAAAACATTGTTCTTTTTTTCTTTTTATATTTTAAAGTAAAACATAAGAAAAAAATATATCCTTATAAATATTTTTATGTAATAATACGCTTGTATATTTATGCGTGACATATGATTCCTATATGAATATCAAACTATTTGTTTGATGATCAGAGCGTTGCTAAAGTCTGTATGTCAATAGAAGAAGAAAAAAAACAAGGTGTTATTTATGGAAGCTTTTATTAAAATATTTCTACATTGATATGCAAATTTCTGCTTTCTTATAACCTACAGGCTTTTACATGAAAAGAATATAGTTTTCCGTCCTATAAGTGAGTATTTATTTTATATTAAAGATTACCTTAATCTTCAACAAACATACTAGAATGACTGAAAAATGTATTTATTGTTTTTTTTTGGAATTTTTCTAATAGTTATTAACATTCATGTACACGTATGTTTCATTGTTAGCAAATGATTATTAGTATAAGTAGATGATGGATTAGAGGAAAAGTACATCTTATAAAATAGAATATGTTCGATTTATTTATCACAAAAACAAAAAATAACAACATGTTTAGACATGCTTGTTACATGTCTTTGGTATGTGTGTGTCTGTGTTTTTTTTTAGAATTCTTGTATTGTCTTGCATGCATATGCGAGAATTCTTTTTGTTTTACAAAAGATATTTATATGTTTTCGGACATGACAATATAATGAGGGTGTATATGCAAAGTTTTATCCATTCTGTCGCATGTCTACATGTATATCATGTGGAAGAGAATTGTGTAGGTACATACATTTGATTAGGAATTAATTGTATTAAACTTGCAATTAATTATTTTAAATGTAAATGCTTTTTTTCTCAAATAGTTTTTAATTATTCATAAATGTATTAAAAGATACAGATACTATAAACTATAGAGAATAAAAATAATTCTACGAAATTCAACTTTCTTTGTTAATGTAAACATTTGAACACTTATATAAAATGAGCAATTTTGTATAGTGATATATTTCTTCAAAAATTTTATTCAAGAGTTATATCAATTATAATTCATCAACTTTGATTTTTCATAATAGAGCATATAATAAACAAACAAAATTTTTCAATTTAGGTTAACTGTATATCTTGCTGCTTTCCGTTATGTATTTCTCAGTTGTAAAACTTTAACTGCTTATGCATTATCACCAGAACGTGCTTTTATTGGTGTTATTATTGTTGCTATATTAACAACAATTCTTTGTATTCCATCTTATATAGAACATCATATTGTTAAAGGCTATTATAATGATACACAATCAATATCAAATAATTCCAAGATAATAGTCGCTTATCGTTTTGAAGAAACACCATTTAGTCAATCATTATCATTACGTGATACTGTTTTTGTGTTACATGGTGTTATATTTAAATTAATGCCATGTATATTTATACTTTTATTTAGTTTTTTATTAATACAACAATTACGTAATGCATTAGAAAAATCACAATTATTAGAAAGACATTCAATAACAAACACAACTAAATCAAAAACTAATGGACGTTTACGTAGTCGAAGACGTGAGAAAGAAAATCGTCGTACAACATTAATGTTAGTTATTGTTTGTGTTTTATTTCTTATTACAGAATTACCACAAGGTGCAATATTATTATTAACAATTTCATCAAAAAATTATTCAACATATTATTTTCAAATTTATCGAAATCTCGGTAAAATAGTTTTTTTTTTTTTTTGACTTCATTAAATATTTTCTTTTAGGTGATACATTTGATATATTAGCTTTAATAAATAATTCAGTTAATTTTATTCTTTATTGTTTGATGTCACAAGCATTTCGTGACACATTTAAACAAACATTTTGTTTTTGTCAAAAATTTGATCTTCAACAATCGACAATATCATTTTCAAAATTTACAATAAGAAGACATAGAAAAAAACATTCAAATCAATCTGTAACATATGAAATTATTACAACACATAATAGTTCTCAAAATTGTCAAACACATTTAGCACCAATTGTCAAGTCTTTATCTGATAGTTCAACTAAAAAACTGAAACAAACTTCAAATACCTTAGAGCTTTTTCATCATGCTAAATCAGCTTCATTATAAATATTATTGTTGTTGCTTTTTTGTTTTTTTTTATAATAAAATAAAAACTAATTAAAAACCGCGCGTTAAACATTATATAATTCATTCTGTTCTATGCGAGTCTATCTCGGTCTATCTTAACAAAATTAAAAGTAAATATTCGATACAAATTAACATTATTCTTCTATTCATATTCTAATATCGGTACGAATAATCTATATATATATATCTATATTTATCATTAATATTTATCTCCTTTCGAACGATCGAATATAACGATTATGTCTACGATACTTAATTCATCAGAAGATAATAATAATAATAATAATTTAAATCAAAATCAAAATGCATTTGCAACTATAAAATCAAATAATTCCATGATCAATGAACATCATCAACAAATTGATTCAAATTTAACTACAAAATTGTTAACAGAACATCGAGGTAAAATCTTACAAGGAAAATTTTCCAACGTATTAATCCACTTTTGAATCAGGACTATGTACATAATATAGACTCAAATGAGTTTTGAATATCCTGAAAACACTTCTGGTCTTTTGTTTATTGCTGCGGAAATACTGAAATTTTATAGTAGTTTTTAAATAAATGCTGTAATCAAGGAAAACTGATTTTCGAACTTTATCCAAAGATAGGCTTTAGTGAGAATAGTTTATATTATAATAGTTTCAAATCTCTTGATTTACTTCTATCCTGAAATAAGAATATCGAATCTGCCGTTATGTGCAACGTAAAAGATCTCAAACATTTACAATAAACTATTCTCGTAAAGGATTGTTTCTATGTTAAGTTTCAAATCAAAATTCGACAATTAGTTTTCCTGAGGTAATCACAGCATTCACTTAAAAACTATCATACAAAGGCCAGTATCTCAGCAGCAATAAGCTAAGAATACGAGTTCTTTTCATAGTATTCATAACGCATTTAGTTCTACACAGTCTTGACTCGAAAGTGATTTATTGGTTAAATAATTTTCTAAGAGAGAAAAAAACCATGAATGAAAAACTAATTCGCAATCGAGTTCAATCATTGCATAGAGTTATTAAGTAGAATCCTGTTTGTGACTGTCATTGAGACAAGAAAGAAAATTTAAATTACGTAGTAATACAGATCTGAATGTTTTGAAAGTCATGATGTTCTATGAATATTGTCAGGATATAGTGAACACAGCACTGCACTCAAATCTTCAATATTGTTTTGACAGTCTCAATTGCTATTTTTAATTATTTCACATGAATATACATGCATGCTTTTTTCTTGCTCTCTTCTTCATTGTCTCTGATTAATGCACTGACACTACTGTTCTTTATTTCTTATTAATGTGCATGTTTGGGAAAGCGATGACATGATAATACATCATCTTATATGAACTAATAATAACAACAGTGGTAATGGTTCGTCACAATGTGAATTTGATGACAAATTAAATATTTCACTTTGTTCTGCATCCAATATTTTAAAATAAGACAAAAAAGAATATTTAAATGATTATCCAGATTAAAACAATAAATATAGGATTTTGTGAAACAAAGCAAAGCTTTTAGATTCATAAATATTCAAATAAAGGAAGATAAACAATACAAAAAAATGCTCTCTGATTACTTCAAAAACTAGTAAAGAAGCTTATATTCTAAAACTTTTTTCCATTTCGAAGTAAAACATATGACATCATCCATAGATGAATATCTCTCAATAGTGAACACTTGTTTATTTAAGAAAGATTTTACTGTACATATATATGGGGATGAGCAGTCTGGCCGGAAGTCTCATTAATATTTTTTTTATTGTAAGGATAAAACATACTATTATTCGAGTCATATAAGAGAGAATACCACATAACCCTAGATTGGCCCAAACAATACCATGTTTTATCCTTACAATAGTAGAGAAAAGTTACCTGTTTATCGTGTGATCTGATAGCTTTTCTCTACTATTGTAAGGATACAACATGGTATTGTTTGGGCCAATCCAGGGTTATGGGATATTCTCTCTCATATGACCCGAATAATATTATGTTTTATCCTTACAATAAAAAAAAACATTAATGGAGCTTCCGGCCAGACTGCTCATCCCCATATATATCAACAAAAAAATAATAATAATTCACAATTAGTTGCAAGTTTGAATCTTGATTTTTTTTATCACTAAAAGGCGAAAAACATCTGTGATTTCTTTGTAATTATAGACTTGTCATCTTCATCCGGAACATCTTCGCTTAGTCAAGCTGTCCATGCCGCTTTAGCTAATGTCATTCAAGATCCATTAATAACAGCTACAGGTGATTCATGTGTTACTAATCATCAATCTCATGGAGGTGGTGATTCAGCAATAAATAATACAAATCAATGTGAAAATTGTTCAAAACTTCGACAACAATTAACTCTTCTTATATATGAAGTACTTAATCTTGAAAATACAATGGAATCAAAAATTTGTGAATATGTTCAACGACGTTTAAGTGAAATAGCTATTTCAGAACAATTAACATCATCAAAAATTAATTCATTAATTACAAATGATAATATTAAATCAATAACACAAATAGATTTAACAACAACAACAACAACAACAACAAATAATGAAAATATTGGTAATTTTTTCATATATTAATTAGATAGTTTAAATAGAGAAATAATTTGTAGTTTGATTTTTATGTTTGTTTTTTTTAGATTTATCATCAAATAGTTCAACATGTAATTATACAATGGCTCAAAATAATAATCATATAATACTCGATAGTAATAATTCAAATGGACGAATAATTAAAAATCTTGATAATAATCAACAATCAATCAATAATACATTAAAATATCGAGCAGAACGAACATTAACATTTGAAAATGTTCTTATTGGTGATTCAACATTAAAATATCTTGATCCAGCTCGATTTGATATTGAAAGAAAAACATATATTAAAACAATGGTAAATTAAAAGCAATATTTGAATGAAATTTTCTCTTTGAAAAATTTGATCTTTTAATTATAAGGTAGAGACAAAAAGTTTAGAAACGAAATATTTTTGATAACAGTAACAGATAGAATAAATTGAAGACAAGATGTAATTAGCCGAAATTATTTTCCATCAGGAGAACCACATGATAAAATTCCTAATGACAGGTTTTGGTGAAAGATCTTTGGAAAATCATGACTTCCAAAACTAATTTTCTGGATTCTAATGCTTTACAAACAAGGTCATCTGATAGGAAAAAAAAATTTTTTTAAATTCAACGAACCATACTCATTCTACGCAAGGGTGTTTTTCTAATTTGCATGAATTTATTATGTTTTATACTTACAAGCGTTTCATAGAATGAGTGTGGTTCGCTGAAAATAGGATGTAGAGAGCCCGAGGACATCTTATTTTGTTCAGAAATGTTTTCTCTATTAGATGAGCTTGTTTGCAAAACATTTTTGATATAACCAAAAAAATGGTATTTCGAATCTTAGTTTTTCAAAGATCTTTTAGGCAAACTTGACAGCTGGAATTTGACAAATACTTCTTTTAATAGGAAATTGTTTTACTTACTCAAATGTTTTTCTCTGATTAGTCCTTGCTATTACCGTTGAGGAAAAAAGTCAAAAAATACTTTGTTTCTAAATTTTTAACCTTTCCTTTATATTAACAAGAAGTGAATCAAATTTATTAAGAATATAATCGATTGGTTTTTTATTTCTAGCGTGGTAAACGAGTAGCACAAGCTCTTGAATTTATTCAAACAACCCGTTTCATTGGTACAAAAAAAATGTATGTCTCTCTTATTCGATTAATTAATTTTACATATATATTTAAATGTTTAAAGTATGTTTCATATTGGTGCAAATAATCTTAATCGTGATAAATTAAGTGAACAAGAAGTTAGTGAACAAATCAAAGAATTAATTGTAACAACAAAAACTTTTAGTCCACAATCAGAAGTTTATATTTCACTTCTTTTTTCTCGACAATCAAATGATGAAAGTCGAATAAAAACTGAAAAATTAAATTATTTATTACAAGGTTAATTAAATAACTTGTTTTATTTATTTATTTATTTATTTATTTATTTATTTATATTTCAGCTATGGCATCACCTGAATTAAAAGTATTTATTATTTCTCATCCAAATATTTCACATGATATTCGTGGTTGTTTTGAAGATTCAACACATTTATCAAAATCAAAAGGTACAATTTTATTCGAAGAAAATATAAAAAAAGCTATGGGTTTAAAAATCTCAACAATATCATCAAATAATAATCAACGATCATCATCAATGTGTCTTAATACAAATAAATTTCCAACAACAACAACACGTCTTCCACTTGGATTAAAACTTTCGAATACAAATACAAATTCTAATGGTTATAATGTCAATAATAATGCTTTAATAAATCCAAATAATTTAGTTAATATGAATATGCTTAATGCAAATGCATTATCAGCTTATTTATCATTTTTGGTCGGTGGATTCCGATCTTAAGAATTATCAAATGATTGTTCAAAAAGCAACATACACACACAAACAAAAAAAAACATTTTTTTCTCTCTTTTCTTTTGTTCATTTATTTTCTTTTAAATATCAATTACAATGATAAAAAAAAAACAATTAAATATTTTTATTTTTATTTTTTCAAGTAACAGAAAGAGAAAATTAAAATAAAAATATTCAATTAACAATGATCTTCTTTATATGTCAAGAAGTAGCAAACAATCAACTTGTTGACCAAGACCATCTCGATTAATATTAAAAAATGATGAATTAACATCAGTTTTACTTGGTAAACGTGCCAAACCTGTACAACGTCGAGCACTAAGTAAACGTGAACTACATTGATTATCAGGTGAAACAATACGAGCTATTGGAATTGAAGATTTTGTTGACCATTCAATGATTACACGTATATATTCTGGTCGTGGATCAAGATATTCAATAGGCTGATTAAGCTAAATAATCGAACAGAAATAAAAACGATTACTTTTGTGAAACCTTTGTTTTTTATGTTAATTAAATTATACCTGAACACGAATTATTGGATGATGAGGTTGTATATGTCCCATCATATGTTTAAGTGTAGGAACAACAAATAACCAATAAGTAACTAAAGCTGATACGGGATTACCTGTAAATATCAGAAGATGAAATAGATATGAAAGTATTCTTTTTTTTTAATTTTAATAACCTGGTAAACCAAAGAATAATTTTTTCTTTCCATTAACTTCACATGTAGCAAAAGTAGTTGGTTTACCAGGTTTCATTTGTAAACGACCAAAATGAATTGTAGCATTAAATTGTTTTGTTAATATTGATTTAATAAGATCCTATAAAATTTTATTTGAAAAAATTTATCTTTGTTTTTCTCTTTCTTTCTATACTTTATCACCCATAGAAACACCACCTGTTGAAATAATAATATCAGCTAATTCAAAAGCTGATTGTAATGTTTGAATAACGGATGTTTCACTATAATATAATAATAAAAATTCTTAGCGCAAGTCCTATGGGACTAATATGTGAAACACAATGGAGCCGATGGTGCTGTAAAAGACAGGATTAATCAATATATGTTTTGGTTTATGAATTCTTACCTACTGTTAATGAATATATTAATCGCAATATGCTGCAGGGATGCGAAAGAAATGTTAAGAGTACCTATAATAGTAATTCCGTAGTAGATTTTGATCTCGTATTTGTGCCTGTCACATCTGTAGTAAGCTGTCTCTGATGAACTGTTTCTGACATGTCTATCACGCCTATGGGGAGGGGGGTCCAAATTTCGACTTTTATACTTTAACAGCCCTTGTAGATTGTGTTTCACAAAATTTTCAAATTCAATTTATGAAAATAAATACGAACTCATCTTTTGCTGTACCACCATCAATAACATTTAGTATATTTAAATTTTGTAATGCACTCATAAGCATTATTTTATTACTATCACGAATTTTTCCATTATCACTTGATGACGCATCAATTGGCATTAACTATAAATTATCAAAATAATAATATTAAATATTAATTTTTCTAAACAAACTTCATTGCCAGTCGAAAGAACAACAACATGTGGTTTATCATAAACACGTACTGTTCGTAAACCAACTGTAGCAAGTAGACCTAATTCAGCAGGTCCTAAACGAACATTTTTTTCTAAAACAAGTTCACCAATATGAACATCATCGCCAATGTTTCTATAAAAAACACATACACCAAAAAATTTTTCTTTTCCTTACAAATTTTTCGAGAACGGTTTTTTTTTAAACAGCAAGAAGCACTATTGCATTTTGCGAAATTATGATTTGAGGTTTTTCGATAACTAAGCTGCTAACTGTTTTAATATTCCTATCGTTCACATAAAGGATCATCGTCAATATTTAATTGTCTATCTTCAAAAAAACAAAATCAGTGTCAAAAGTATTGATATACCAGAACATAAATGCTTAATTGATCAGAACTCATGACATCTAGAGATCGAGAACTGTATGAACTACACACAGACGACAATACTAATACAGCAGTACTTCTTATTGTGTTTAAATAAAATCAATCTCGAAAGTTTTTGAACGACCTTCGTAGTTCAAATACGTACCTAATATCTTGATTCATTGAACATTCGGTAGTTATACGAATACTTTTCTCATCTAAACCATCTTTTTTTGTTGGATGATATTCATGAACTTGTGTATCTTCAATTTGAATAACAGCATTAGCAGAATCAGGTAATTTAGCACCCGTATTGATTACTACACATTGACCTTCCATAAGTGGAATGTTAGTCTAACAAGAATATATTATAGAATATGAATAAACAAAATAATTGATATCTACATTTTCTCCTCCAGCATCTGAACGTCCAATAATTTCATAGATTTTTTCATGAGATGGATCGGAATATAAACGAACAGCATAACCATCTTTAATAGATGCTCGAAAAGGTGGAAATGGTTCTTTAGCATAAATGTCTTCAACACATACATAATTCAAACATTCTACAATAGATTATTATTTATTAATTGGAAAAATTAAATTTTGAATGTAATAATAATCAAATTTCTATTAATAATATTGAATATATTTACCAGTTAGAGGCTTATCAATTATTGGCATTTTATTAGCATATTCAAAAATAATATTCATTGCATCATCAACAGATATCATTGGAAATGGAGAATGACGTAATCGTTCACCTTTATTACTTGTTTCAACTGAAATTTATAAATTTGATTTATAAAATATCAAATATGTTTATGATCATACCATGATGATGATGATGATGATGATCATCACCACCACAAGAATGATGTTTTCTATTCGTCTAAAAAAAAAGGAATGAAGTTTTTAGTATTATTTATATTATACAAAATTAATGAAACTACTAACTTTTATTTGCATAGCAGAATGTGTAATATCCACTTCAGTACGTTTATTTTGAATTAAATCAATAGCATGTTTTAAAATTGGATAAACAAAATCTAGACATTCCTTAGAAAATATAAAGATCAAATATGGTCATATAAAAAGAAGTTAACACATTAGTACGTACTACACATCCTTTACTACTACCGGGTAGATTGATAATTAATGTTTGTTGATAAATACCACATACTGGTCTTGATATAAAAAATGAAATTAGAAAAGAAAATCTTTGAAATAAATCTTACCTCGAAATCATTGCCATTGGAGTAATTGCCAATGATTTTGCGATCATTGTTTGTGATATACCAGGAATTTCCTTTGTAATAATATCACGTGTAGCCTTAAAAAAATGAGAATTACAAGAAATGATATGTGATCAAATGAAATTAAACATATTCAGGAATATTAGTTTTTGTATTAGTTATAAATCAAAGTTACTTCTTAATTTCCATCTTTATTTGAAATCAGTAAATTTCATTCTACAAATTATTCTATTACATTAAAAAACAAATAACATACTTCTGGTGTGACATCATCCGGACTAATTCCTGTTCCACCAGTTGTCAATATTAAATGTGGTCGTAATTCATCACTTAATTTCAACAGTGTTTCCTAGAAGAACAAACGTAGAAATTCATGATTTTGTTCTGAATAAATGAAAAAATCTATTATTTTATAAAATGAGATTTATTCTGTTTGAGTAATAATTTTTGTTTTCTTTTTCTTCGAGTTTTTATAAATCATAGATTAATTTTTCACATAAAATATCAGTGTAAATTAACAAAAAATAAAAATGAAAGATTGTATTCGATAGCTTCAAAACATGAACAAAAAGTTCATTAAATTGACCTAATGAATTTCAAAATAAAGTATAATTCCCATGACATTTTCTTTTATAATCATTCTGCCACGACAAATGACAACATAGAAATCAAATTACAAATGATGTTGATGTTTTTTTTTAAATCATAATAATCATCATTCGAATTTTTTTATTTTCATTAAAACATTACTCATTTTTAAATTAGCATCTTCTTAACTGCCTTGCGATGCATAATATTCAATCCTATGATCAATTAGTTTTTCAACTTGATGTATGTATGAGAGAAAAGAAAAATATTCTGTAAATTTGAAAGAGAAAACATGCATGCCTTGATATGAATCTGATTGTCAGGAACAACTGTAGATGCTAGATGTATCCATTGAATACTGAATAAAATAATAGATTAGTTAATAATTTTTTTTTTCTTCTGGATCATTTAAATATTGTTTTTTCAATTACGAGAAAAATCTCGTATAACATACTTTTCATTTGATTTATCTGCCATATATTTAATAAGTGCAGGTCCCGAATGATCGTTTATTGGATCATCATAACAAGTTGTACTCACTGGAATAAATAAAAATATATTTATATTCAATTGACTCGTTCAATAATTAAAATAGTCTTCACAATTATATTAAGTGTATATATAAAAAAAAACTATCGAGAATTAAGATTATTTTTTCTATTCGATTTAATTATATTGTTAGACAAATGCTGACATGTTTCGATTCTTGAAAAATGATAGTGGTAGAGAAAATAATGTGTCATACAAAACAAAAGAAATCCTAACAATACCTGTTACAACTGCAAAGTTCAAATCAATCATAATTCATATATATTTTTAAAAAAAAATCTAAAACTAATGAAAAATTTAATAAAGTTAATTCCTCAAAATATATATTATAAATATGCGAAATAAGATCATTTATCTGACAAAATTACTGAGAAAATAAGACAAAAAAAGAAATATTAAGATGCATAAAAATATGTAAATATTTGACATATAAGAAAAATTTTAGTTCTTATCAAGCAGATGTAAATGGTCATAGAGTTCTTCTAAAAAAAAGAAACGAAAGACTTAAAAAAAAAATGAATTCTACCATAATTAATTATATAACATACGAAATCGTTCGACAATTGGCATTGTAATTTTTGCATTTTTCTTTTTCTTTTTTAACCATATAATATGTTCTTCATGTAATTTATCAAATTTATTAATTAATTTTCGTTCTTCATCCAGATAATCATCATCATCATCTTCTTCTTCATCATCATCTTCCATATGTTTATAATGATAAAATTTATTAATTTGTTGTTGGATAAGTTCATCAAATGATGATGTTATTAAATGAATATCTAATTTTGACATATGTTCTTGTTGTATACGTTTTAATTCTTCAACATCACGTCGAAATATTTTTGCTAATTGTGTTTGATCAATTATAAACCATGATAATTCATGTCGAAGTTCTTCGTCTTTATTAATATAATTTGTTTCTAAGAATTCAAAACGTGATAATAATTCAATAATACCTAATTTAATCTAAAATTGAAAATAATAATAATAAAAATAAATTGATTTAAAAGAATTTTATATACTTGTTCAAAATCTTTTTTTAATTCAATTGTTGATGTTTTTTTTTCTTCAATTCGTCGTTCAATTTCAAGAATTTTTGTTCGTATTAAACGAATTTCTTGTTGAAAACGACTTAATTCATTTTGTTGAGCTGCACGTCGTTGACCATTTTTAGTTACTGATTTCCATTCACGTTCAGCTAATTGAAGTTCTTCAATTTTCTATATAGAATAAATTATTTTCATTTATTAGAATAATTAAAAAAAAACAAAAAAATTTTATTCAATTACTTTTTTTGATTCTTGTTCAAGATCACGATGACGTTGTGTAAGTGATATTTCTTGTGTATTGATTTCTTTTATTAAATTTTCAATTGCTATTTGTGCTTGTTTTACAGAATCATTATCTATAATTGATGTTGTATCACCAATAATATCACTTAAACAAAAATCAACAGAAGATGGTGGTGGTCGAGGTGCTTTATGTTTATATGCACTAAGTAATATTTGATATTTAGCAAGTGACTCTTGTAACTAGAAAAACAAAAAGCGAAAGTGTTTTAAAATAACTGGAGGAAAAAAAACAAAATAATCAACAATATGAATCCGATTGTAATCGTTTTTTTTTTCGTTGCCAAAATTTTTAATGATTTCCGTTGTCTGCTACTTGAAAAATAAGCGGTTTTTTTCCCTCTGTTTGTGTTAATGTGATCGCGCTTTCGAAGGAACTTCATTGTAGCCAATTTCCTTTTTTTTCTTTTGTTTGAAAAAGTATGTGGAGCTGGAATGCCCTGTCTTTCCTTTTTATTATTATATAAAAGAGGATTTACATAAATAGATGATCATTTTATTATGGTAATTAACTTGTCATCTTTTCTCTCTGCATAAAAATAAAGAATTTTAAAAAAAGTCAGTCAGTACAGTTTGACCTGCTTTTTCAAATGACAAAGAATCTATAGAATGAGTGTCCACAGAGAATTTTGAGTTGTCAAATGAGTTATCCTTGACCCTTATTTGTTGAGTATGTCCCGAAAATGTCACGATATTGAGTTGAAAGTTCCATGCAATTTGAATGCATCTGATCTAACATCAATTTTTGTAGACGGAGTTTTAACTACACTCAAAAATTTCTACTAAACATGTCTGCATCTTATAACTTCAATTAAGTGATTTTGTATCTAAAATTTTTCATTCAATGATTCCAAATCAAAACATATCAATCAATCGAATCCAAGATCGAAGTTTCAATTGACTTGTTCCTTATCTGGAAACACTTAATTGGCTGGCAAGAGAAGTTCTCCACCTGATAAATCGTCTTTGAGCCGAGACTATATGCATTATGTAGACCTAAATAAGCTATGAATTTCGACTTGAAACTTTGCATAGAGATCGGTCTTAACGAGAATAGTCTATTGTGAAAGTTGCAAGTCTTTTGATTTGCTCCTATTCTGAAATACGAGCATCATATCTGTCGATTTATATGAGTAGTGGAAAAGATACAGTATTATCATAGTTGTATCTTAGAATAGAAACAGCGACAACACCTGAAACATTCACAAAAAAACTATTCTCTTTAAGGCCTGTTTCTATGCAAAATTTCAAATTGAAATTCAAAAAATCCGTTTTTCTGCTATCACGGCTTTCATTCAAAAACAAATACCATAAAAGTGTAGTAACGCTGCAACAATAAGCTACGGGCACGAACTCTTTTCAAAATATTCATAATTCATTTGGATGTACATACTGCACATAGTCTCAACTCAAAAGCGATTAATCAGTGAGAGAACTTCTCTCATGAGAGTCTAAAAAGTCGAACCGCTGTATTCTAAATGAAAGTTTTAGTTGATTACTTCTTTAACAAGTCGTTTATGTTCATTAGTTGCTGTTGAATGTAATTGTTGTTCAAGAAGTAATGTAGAAAGAAGAACTTCATGTTGTTGTTTAAGTTCACCATTTGAACGGATATGATGTTGTAATTCAGCATCTGTTTGTTGAGAAAAAAGTCGATCTGATAATAATTGATTACGATCAGTTAAATGTTTTTTATCCATTTCTAAATATAAAAAATCATTTTGTTTTTAAATAAGAATAAAATGTAAATTTTCATACCTTTTTGTTCAACAATTTGTGTTAATTCAACTAATTTCGCTTGTTCATCTGATATTTCTTCTTGTTTTTTTGTAAATTCAATAAAATCATTTTCATTCGATGTTGTTAATATTGTACATTCATTTTCAAGTTCATTAAAAGTTGTTTTTAATATTTCAAACTAAATATTTAACAAAATAATATTTAATTAAAAAAGAAAAAGAGAAAAAAACCTTAGCTATAAATATTTACTTGTTGTTTAAGTTGATCACGTTCAATAATCATTTCATTCATTTGTTTTTCATGTTTTAATTTATCAATTATTTCAAGTTTATCTTTAGCATAAATATGATGTCGTAATTCATACATTGATTCTTCCATAACAGCTGGATCATATCGACCAATCCAAAACATTTGACGCATTAATAATTTAAATTCTCTTAAATAATTATTTTCTAATATACGTTTTTGTTCATGTTCACTTTTAATAATACATTTTATTAATTGTATTAATAAATCAATCATAATCATTATATTTTCATTTGACATTGCACGTTCAGGTTTAATACGTGTTAATTGTTCAATTGTTGAAAGACGATATGTTAATAGAACATGTTTTAAATATGCCCAACGATCTGTTAATGAAACTTTTCCACCTGGTTTATTTGGTTGAGGTGCTGGTGGAAATGGTTGAAAACGTTGATCTTCATAACGAGATGGATTTGCTAGATGCTTTGATTAAAAAAATTCATATAGACAAAATCAAAAAAACAAAAGATTACATACATCGAGAACAGTAAGAATATCTTCAAATCCATATTTTGTTTCATGACGCATAACATGGGGAATAGCAAGTTCAGCAAGTAACTAAAGAAAGAAAAAAAAAAAGTAAAAGAGAAAAATTCAAGATTAATAATAGTTCTTTACTTCATTGAGATTTTCTACAAGGCCTTGAATTGTATATGGTTTAGCTCGATTTATAATACTTGTATTTGGTGTATTTGTTGTAGGAGCCATAGGATATGCTTTAATACTTGTAGATGAATTTGATGGATGTAATAATTGTTGATGATGAAGAGGAACTAATCGACGTGTATTTGTTGGTGTAGCTTGCCAATTTCGAGCTAATCCTAATGGATTCTGTTGTTGAAGACTATTATCAAAAAGTGAGGATGATGTAGATGAAATATTAATTGGTGTGCCATATCCATTTCCTAAAGGACCTTTTTTATTAGCGAATACTGAACCTTTTTTCATTTTCGTTCGTTCTAAATGACTAATCTTTTTATTTTTATGTTTGATTGAAAACAATGGGAAATGATTGAGTCATATCTTAATGATACATGCTTTCGTTCATCTTCGCCATATTTCTTCTACAGTTTGCCTCAGTAAGCAGTGTGTATTGATATGGAGTGACATCTGCTAAGATGAAATATAGTATGTATTATATACATCTTTTTTTATAGAGTTAATAAAGATGTGACCAAAGTGATATTTAAATTATATGACAAAATTGATGATGACATACATGTTTAAATCTTAGATTTATGATTTATATAGAAATATCAATCATTAGATTAAACATCATAACTAGAGTTCGATTTATCAAGAACTATCTAAATCATAGTAGTAGAAAAGACTATGAACTGATGATAAAAATTTTTAAAATTATCAATATATGTTAGACTCGTAAAATCATAGCTACGAGGATGGAATATAACTGCAAAGTATGGATGTAAATACGAGAGGTCTCAATAGGCTGGACTCAAGTGCTTCAGAATACTAAAGTCTAGCCTTTTCCACCTTGATTCCATACTATTGAGACCTCTGGTAAATACTACGCTAGCGTAAATCAATATTTAAAAATGGAAAACAGAAATCAGTGGATCACAAGATTTGACATGAATTCAATATTTTGTGGTCCTACCTGTCTCAATCCAAGAGAAATATGTTTTCTATAAAATAATTTGGAGTTTCTCAATTTTAACAAAAAAATAAATTTTCAGTTCATTTTCGTCGTTAAACGGAGAGGAAAGAGTTTTATTTACTATGTTTACCAGAACTTTTGAGCAGTACTACAAGGCTGAAATATTTGTATCATTTTCCTATAGAAAGCCTACTGATTCTTCATTATTGTCGTATCCTATGTCATTGAAATTGCAATTAACTCATCGTTTACCATTGTGCTTATACATGTTCCTTGTGAATGAGGAAAGAGCTGATTTCTTAATCGCGATTAATCGCCAAATGTGACGCGATTTTGATGAAACCGAATATTCATAACGAAATAAAATGGGAAGTATTTACAACAAATACACTACTGTTCCATTAAGCCTTGCCAAACTGTCTAATAAAAATCTTAAAATATGAAAAATATGCAAAATGCTTTTTGTAGATTTTTTTGAATTTGTTATTATCTTTATGAGACATCTTTCTAATCTTGAGACCTTCACATGGCCTCTGCTTAATCAATGTCACTATGATTATAAGACTCTCAATAGATTGAAAACTAGTTTACATAGCTCAATTTAATTGTTATACTATATCTTTCTCTCAATAATCACAAATGACAAAACAAATTGTCTAAGCAATCAAGTCATAGAAAACATAATTTAAAATGTTTATTTCATCGATATTTTTTATTTATAGTAAAAAATAATGAAAAAATAAAAATGAATATTTCATTTAAATATTAATATTTTTTTTCAACAATAAAAAATGGATTTTCAAATGCAACAAATTGTTTTAAAGATAAATTAATTGGTAAATTTTGAATATCAGCTGGATAATGAATTAAACGTTTAAATAATAATATTCGACAAATAGATTTTAATGATGAATTTTTTTCTTTACATTGTAGAATAAATGCTTTTACAGGTTCTTTCCAATAAATCCAAACACGACGAAATATATGTTCAAAATGAAAATTTTTTACATTAACATCTGGATTATTATAAATACATTGAAATAAACGAAAAAATTTAAAATAAAGCATACGCATAGTTAATTGTAATGTTTTATGTTCTTTTATTTTTAATTGATTATTAGAATTTTCTTGATTATTTTCACGATAAATACTTTGTATAGCTGTTTCATAAACACTTGAATAAGCATGTGCTGCTAAACGATTTTGTACTTCAAGTTGTACAGTACCTAATGCATAAATAAATTCAGTTAAAATTTCTCCTGCTTGTATACTTATTTTTAAATTATCATAATCACGTATTAATGTTGATAAACGATTTTTATATAAAGTACAACAAAGATTAACATGATGATCAACATAAGATAATTTTTGTTCAAATGTTAATTGTGGTAAAATTGAACGTATATAACGTAATGGAATCTTTGTTAATTGTCCACTATAATTAATAATTTTTTGAAAAAATAATAAATTAGAATAATAATCAGAATCATTAAGTAAATAATCAAGACGTAATGTATCGGAATGATATTGAATATAAGTTGGTTTTAATTTTTTTAATGAACATAAACATTCAATCCAATAATCAAGTGGTGTATGCAATTCAGAATTTTCCATTTGTAATAATTTTTTACTTGTATGAGGAAGTAATAATTCACATAATGGTAAATTAAAATGTCGACATGCGTGATGTAAAGAACTAAATTTATTTAAATCAACTTTATTTGTATCAAGACATGATAGATGACGTGTTAATAAATATTTTATTGAATCAATTGGACCATTTTTATGTGCAAGCATTAATAAACAATGACGACCTTGATCATTTATTGTATTTATATCAAGTTTACTTGTTAATAATTGATGTTCTAAAAGATATTTCATACAATCATAACGATCTTGTTCTATTGAACTTAAAAGTAAAGATTTATGTTCATATTGAGTATTATCATCTAATGAATGCATTAAATATTCAAGTTCATCAAAAAACCATTCAAGAAATTCTTCATTTTCATCAGTTTTTTCAAAACAAAGTAAACGATTTAATATATGAAAAAATTCATTATTAATATATTGATATACGATATCTTTTAATATAAGTATTGTACGAATTTTTTCAAGTGTTAATGGTGTATAATATTTCCAATTATTTTCATCAAATGAATAATTATCATTTTCATTCTTGTCTAGTAAAATTTCTTTTGATCTATTTATTATAATTGATAAATACGATTAATATTCATATTTGTATATAAATATTAAACTTACCTACTTGTTGATGATAAATAAGTCGACATTTGTTTGGCATCTTTGTTCATAGCGTGCCATACCAATTGTCTGATCAAAGGAATTAACTGATGTTGTAAAAAAAAGAACATAATAGTTTTTATTTGAAATATATGAAATTTGTTTTGTTACCTGTTGTTATTGATTCAGTTGTTTCAGATGATCGTCTTGATGTAAAATGTAATGATCGATTTATTTCGGGTATGTTTGGCTGATTTTGTTTATTTGCATTATTAATTGATGTTTCTTGAATTGATATAAAATAAAAAGATTTATCTAATAAATTAATCAAATCAATGATCTCACTTATTTCTAAATCTTTGTATGATACAACATCAAACATAGATAAAGGTCGAGTTGAACTATGATGTTCTTCATGATGTTGATCTATTCCTGCATAACTTACCGCTCGTAGTGGATTGAATTTTTGAAGAGATTGAAAACGTAATACTTTTTTAAAAGTTGATGGCCTCTTATCATCTCTCTTCTCATCATGTTGCTTACCGCTGGTGCAGCCCATATGCTAATTAAAGCAAGTCGTTTTTCTTCTGTTTCTTTTCGCTCTATCTTCAATGTATAAACACGTTCGATAAGATTTCTAGAAAGCGAATTTATAACTGTTGATGTTTTCTTTCTTGCTCTTTTTTCTGTATGTACTGTATATACAAAGACGGTATGTGTAGAGTATCCTTCTCGATTTTGTTGTTATTCGTTTATCGATGGTTAATAGACGTTACATTGATTCATGTTGGGCGATATATAATCATCAACAACGATTTCGCATCATTGTCATCACGGCTGACTGATTCCTCGTTTTTTTCGGAGGTAAGGAAAACCTATCGAAAAAAAAGAACAAGACGGTAGATAAGAACAAAAATATTCATAGCCTTACCAAAAAAAAAAGAGAGAATGTATAAAAATAAAAACAGAAATGCATATCAAATATATTATTTAGTAAGCTTGCATTTTATATAGATTCTTATTCCTCTTGTCATATGTTCGTTTGAAAAAAGCAAAGGAAGAGTAAAAGAGAGAAAGGAAGGAAAAAGAATGATCAAGGTAATTGTGCAAATTATTTGATTCAATTTCGACCCTGTATGTTTATCCATCGTCTATCTGTTTGATATGTTGAAAAAACGTGACAATTATATTTATTACAGATTATCATCTCATTGACTAAATGTAAGGAACGATATATCATTTCTCATGGATATAAATTCTATTTCTTGATATTAAAATGATAATAGTCATGAACATCGTTAATCATAGATATTCTGACGTCGTCTTCATATGAAAAATTGACATACGACTGTTTACTTAGGTCATGGTGAAAAGGTTCATTAAATAGAAACAATCATAGATATACAGTACACATTAAATGAATTTTCCACATAATTTTTCTTGGATATATTTATCACGAGTAAAGTATAAAGTACAGAGAACAAAAAATGTGTCACAAAAAAAAGATGGTATTTTTTTTTTACTATTACAAAGTTCATTGTTATCAATCTTTGTAGCTAAATAAATAATCAAACAATAGTAGAAGTTATATATATCCATACGTATAAAAAAAAAAGGAGAAATAAAAACTCAATTGAATCGTATTGTACATTGTATCAAAAAAACAAAATATACTATCTTGTTTTGTATAATGTATTTTTTTGTTCTCTGTACTTTATGTTTTATTCATGATACATATATCAAGCTATGCAATGAAGTTTGTGCTTCCTCGCTGTATATCAATTATCGAAAAAAATCAAGCTCCAGTAGCGTCAAGCAAAAAAAATAATAGGGGATATTTCAATTGAGATATCCTATAGTTCACACTCCATATCGCACGTTTGTTCGCAATAGAGTCCTGCGGTTCCGGTTATCAAAATTGGAAAAAAACGGTTCCTTTTTCGGTTCCTAAAATTTTTGCTAGGAACCGACGATTTTATCGTAACATACAAAATACCGAGTAATTGAGTTTTTTTAGAAATTTCTATATTTTATCTTCGAAACTCTTCGTGTTTATTACTTCATCAAATAAGTAGCTCTTTCAAAAGGTAGAAGAAAAAGTCAAATAGAACCTTATGATATTGTCGATTGAGAATCAAGTGAATTTGTATGAATAGGCGATGGAGTAGTAGTTGTACATGTAGTAGATAGTATTGTTGGCTGCCGTTTGATAATTTTCGTTTTAACTAACTTAAGACCTTTTTCTTAAAAACCAGGATTACTACGAAAACTTTTTATGAATAAATGAGGAAAGATGCTGATACAATGTGCATCTTGCAACATCTACACATCTTGAAACTTCCATCCTCAAGACAAATTTCGGTTGCTAACGGTTCCGGTTTCATCTTCTTTTATTTCACGATTCTCGGTAAAAGAAACAGAAAAATCCAGTTCTCGGTTCGGTTCTCGGTTTGCATTTTTTTTGGAGCCGCAGGACTCGAGTTCGCACTACTGTCAGTATGCCGACGGTAGCGCTCACGACTTTCAGTTTCAGCTATGAATTATTGTAGAGAGTGTTGTCTACCCAAATCTGAATTATTTATTAGAAAGAATTCAAATTAACCGAGAAGAAACAGTTTCAGAGTTTTTTTTATTAATAAAAGTTTATCTCATAATCAGAGACGATTTCGGCTCTGTGGTTAATACAGGCGACTCAAATGCGTCAACATTACCTGCGTGCATTGAAATCGACTGAATTCTGTCAGTTTTAACAGATTTTAAAAATATTCATCCGTTTTGATACAATACCATCATTTCAAAAAGAACCACCGGTATAGCTCATGTTATGAAAAGCGTGACGATTTTGGTGACTTTCAAAAACGTCAGCGTAAAATCGTGATTACTTGCATTTCGTGAAAGATCAGTGATTAAATCAGATTTTATCATCATTATGACACAAAACACGATTTGTCGATAATCAACGATAAGTCGAATTTAACCACTGATTTTAGTAAATGATTGCAAATCGACAATTAATTAGAGAAATATTCCCAGTATGTAAAATTGGGAGTTAGATATAATTTGTACACATTTTTCTAAATATGATCATAAGGATTTGAAACCAAAAGAAATAAATTGTTTCACCATGGATATCACTACTATAATATTAATGAGATTGATCAATTTTGAAAACGATCAAACTGATCTTCGCATTCATGTTTATTTACCACAAAAAATGTTTTTGATAATATGGATTATTTCAGATCAAACAATTTTTCAAGTTTTAGATGAGTCCTTGACTCCTAGATTAATGTAAAGTTGAAAAACTTGTTTTTTATTCTTTAAAATGACTTCTTCTATCGTTATACTTATACTTCTGCTTTTTAATTATGATTTTTACTCCTTCCTCTGTTTTAGATATTTAATTTATTAACAAAAAATGAATATGCATGGAATGATTTTAGAGAAAAATTCAATTCAAAACATCAATTTGAACATTTGAACATTTTTCTTTTATTTTTCAATTCTATTCTCATTTAACTATGTAGAATTGTATGCCACATCCATTTTTCAAAATGTTTATTGTATGTTCTATTCATATAGAATAAATCAAGCAGTCAATTTTAGAATAAAAGTATCCACTATCATAAATTAATATGATGTCATCAAATAATTTACAGATGACGTTTCTACTCTTTGATATTATTTGTGTTAAAATCTGTCTAATTCATAGAGATTTTGCCAATTTCAGTTTTGATACATATCACTTAGCGATGGACTACGAGCGTTCAACTATGTTGAGTTCTGTACTGTTCGATGGTCATTCAATCATTTCAGGTATCTATGGCTTCAAAATTTGCCATTGATAGATTATTTGTGTTCTAACGTATTTTTCTTGCTGAAATTATTTAAAAAACTAAACTTTTTTTTTTTATTTAGATTTATCTCAACAACAAGCTTCAGATAAGTATATTTATTTATTTAAATGAGTAGGTTTTTTTTCTTTTGTTTATGAGAAGAGAGATAAGAGAAACGTGTTGCGTCCGCCTCCTCCACTGAGGAGAATATTATGTGATTACGATGGCAAACGAAGTCCTACACGACAGTGTAAGGTAATTTGTGCTGGGCGTAGATATGTCGTATTGCGTCGTATACGATACGACGATATACTGTCGTAATTCTAGGGTCAAATAATACGACGAAATACAATCGTAATTTCCATTGTGTATGATCGTACACGATTGCATATGACGTCGTTTGCGACAGTTTACGACTGTCGTAATGTTCGTCCTGAGAGGCTACACATAAACTTTATCCCATTATAGATCTAAGCAATGACTAAAAACAACAAGTCTAACATTTTATACTGTGCACCATCATGGAAAAATATTGATTAATGAATCTAAATAAAACGTAAAATGATCTTATTTTCTGTCTATCGTAAATTGAAAATAATATAGATGAAATAGAACAATGATTACTAAACAACATAAATTGTTTCATTTAAACTTACTTTAATATTTTATTGTGATACAACAAACACATATAAATAAGAATATGAAAAAGTGATAGCATCCAAGATCGAATGATCGGTCTATTGTTAAACGTATATGTCACCATACGTTCAAATACGAAAAACCTAAACAATGAATCTAAACTACCGTCGCGTACGATTACAGTACGCGATCATAGGTGGTCATAAGTTAGTCGTGAGTTGAGTTGCATCTATCGAATACATAAATCTTACGTTTAGAATTTGACAACAAATTCGATGGTATTTATTTTAAAAAAAACAAATTTTACTTCTTTATTTAGATTTATTTGAACAACTGATTGAACAGTAAATTTTGATTTTAAATAAATACTTTTCTTGTATTTAGATCTGTTTCAACAACTATACTTAAGGGTGTTATGTTAAATAATAGAACAAACAACTATGATAGTTGGTATAACATCATATTAGAGACGATCATGAATAACGCGATATTGCGTAATTTACAGCGTCGTATACAGCAGTTTAAGTTAATCGTAATCTATTTCGTAGTTGATATTGTTCGAAAGAAACAATTGGATCCTTAGTTCATCTGACATTTTCCATTAGTAAGATCTGACTTTCGATAGAAATTCTGTACCAAAGATTCTGACAGAATTTTATCAGAATTTATCGGATTATTTGGGATTTCCTATTAGACTTGAATCTAGAATTGTTTGTCCTAGATATGTGAACTTCATCATTCAATTCAAACTTTCAACAATAAATCAAAATAAAGAATTTAGAAAAAAATTCAAGTATATATATCGTTTTTTTTCCGAATTGTTAAGTAATGAAGCTACATAAAGATTATAAAATAGATAAAAATAGTTATTTGATTTTATCACTATAGCTAACTGTTAAATAATAAAAATAGTTAAAAAGAATAGATAACATATAAACTTTTTATTCAATTGACATTTAGTATAAAGTAAATAAAGAATATAAAATGTATGATAATATTTTATTTTGAATTTTCTAATAAATTTTCGTTTAGAATAAAAAAATCTAAATAACAAAAAGACAAGCAAATAAATAAACATGAATCAATTCTTTTCTATTTAAAAAAAAATTCGCTTCACTCGACTGATCGAGAATGTTTTTCATATTGTCTGATTATTCTAGTTACGGTTCTATCTTCTTAAACAAAAATTAACTTTTTTCCGTTTTATCAGATTTGGATATATTTCAAATGTTGATTAAAAATCACAAAGAGTAATACTGAATAATATAATGTTTTTGGATTTCTTCACATTCGACACTCCTACTGCCGAATAATTAAGGAATCAGACTGATTAATTTCGACGTGGATTATGAAGAATACGATTTTTCTATGTTGTCATCACGTTTTCAATGAATCCATCATTTATATATTATTTATCATAACATATCATTGATTCTTTTTCCAAATAAAACATAATTCATATTTGACCAACGAACATGTCATGACCGTTTTATGCAATTAGAAAAAAAATCTGTTGAATAGAATCACGTTTTCTATGTCATTCGATTCATGACTGGCACTAGTCTATATCACTTTTTCAGTGATATATATTTATAGCAAAAATCTAGATCATAATGAAATGAAATTAATTATTTTTTTTTGTTGTAATTCCATCAACATTTGAAGATGCATGCCATATGAAGAAAACTATCTTTCTATTTTAATGCATTTTCTCTTTAGATACAATAAGCAGAAATCGCACAAATAAAACAATCAAATAATTATTCTTATATAGCTAGATTCGACCCATATTTATGCTTCAACTTTCTATTAATACACATCAAACATTTTTTTTCTAAACGTGTCCGTAGAATAAAAAAAATATTTACAATTAAAATGATTATTTGAGAATGCGTCAACATAACCAATATACTCTCTGATAATCATCTGGAGTAGAATTTTTTTTAATCTCAGAGTAGAGTCTATATTGGATCAAGAGAGTAAAACATAATGATTTTTATATTTTTGTTTCAGAAAACTCATCAAATATGTAGTTCTTAAACGAAAGAAAAGGAAGTCTTCTAACCTTGAAACTGGCCTAATCAATAGTTAATAGAAAAAAAGAAGACTTTCAATTTATAAAGAAAACATATCTCAATTATAAATCTTTTACATAAACTAGCAGACTTAAAATAACTAATATTTTGAAGTAAGGAACAAGATAAAAATAGACGTTTTCTTATCACATAAATAAAAAGCAAATGCTATAAAAATTACAATGATTAATTAGAAAAAACTTCAGAAGAAATAATTTTTCTTTCATATACATTACAGAAAAAAAATTTTTTTTTTAAAAAGGAACCTGTTTTTCTTCGTTCAATCTTCTTCTTTCTCTATTTTTTTTTATCCTATCGTCATTCTCCTATACATTGCATTATTATTATTTCCATCCCGAGATCACCTACGAGCGTCACATTCAGAATAAGAAGACTCTTTTTTTTACACAAGAATAGCCGTAAGTAATAAATTTTTTTCTAGATAAAAAAAATATAATGCTTTAAAGTTTTATTATGGAATAATCTTTTAAGGTTTTTTTTCTCTTCTTTTTGTTTTCACTGAAAGATATGGGTAATCAACAACAACATCAACTAGAAGAAGATTTATCATTAAATGATTATCGATATTTAATGAAACAAACACATTTAACTCCACATGTTATTCAAGGTTGGTATCGAGAATTTTTAACTGTATGTCCACATGGTCAATTAAATAAACATCAATTTATTAAATTTTACAAAGATTTAGAAAATTCTTCAACAAAAAATGTTGAAGCTATTACTGAAAATGTTTTTCAAGCATTTGATCATAATGGTTTGTTTATTTTCCATTATTGAAATTTTTCCAATTAGGTTTTATTTTTATTTTTTGATTTCATTAAAGGAAATCAACGAATTGATTTTAAAGAATTTCTTATTGCTTATGCTTTAACATCTATTGGTGAACCACATGATAAATTACAATATGCATTTTCTTTATTTGATACAGATCATTCTCAAACAATTGAACCAACTGAAATGATTGAATTATTAAAAAAACTTTTTACTATAACACAAAATAAAATAAGTGATAATTCACCAGAATGTGTTGCTTATGATATATTTCGTACATTAGATCTTGATCATAATCAGTCATTATCAAAAGATGAATTTATCAATGGTTGTCTTCAAAATACAGCTATTCGATGTTTACTTTCACCATTTGAATCTAATTATCCACCAAACGATTAAATATTATAAAAGAAAAAAGAAAACATTGATTTATTGTGTTGTATTTTATTTATGTATTGTACTGAAATAGCTTGGTTAGATAAAATATTAATAATTTGATTTTTTGAATTTTATTTACAAATAAAAAGAATATTTTAAACTCAAAATGAGACAATCATTTTATTAAACTTATGAAAGAACAACGTTTGAAGAATAATTCATATTCCAACACTTTCAGATATCTAAATTGTATTTAAATGATATCATTATTAATCACTAGACTATTTAAATATTGACTTATTTTAAAAATTTGTATGTTTCCTAAAATGAAATGACTAATTTTTTTTTTGTTATTGTTTGAAAGATGTCGCTCTGTATCATTTGAATATTTTCGAGAAGTCGAAAAATTTTTCATTATTTCGTTCGATAAAATTCCTTTTTCGAGAAAATAGAAATTTCTTTTCTATTATTTACTCTGAGTCAAACAAAAAAAATATCCATAAATCTACCATGTTGTAGAACATTCTTGATCGTATCTTCTTTTCTTTCTTCCTTTCTTTTTTTTCTTTTTCGTTCTCTCCTTCCCCACTATTCTACTAGAAAGTTCTCGATTATACCAGAAAGAAAAAACATTACCCTATATAAAGACTAAACATTGGCCATAATTTACATTGTCTACTAGTCGAACTTTTTTATATTCTTTAACAAATTCAACTACACTCATTGCACTTTAACACAAATGGCTCGCGCTATTGGTATTGATTTAGGTACTACGTATTCGGTATGTAATAAATAATAATTTTTTTTTTTGTTATTGTATACTCATACATGTTATCTATTCTAGTGTGTTGGTATTTTTCAACATGGTAAAGTTGAAATCATTGCTAATGATCAAGGTAATCGAACAACACCATCTTATGTAGCATTCACTGATAGTGAACGTTTAATTGGTGATGCTGCTAAAAATCAAGTGGCCATGAATCCAAATAATACAATATTTGATGCTAAACGACTTATTGGTCGTAAATATGATGATGCAACTGTTCAAGCTGATATGAAACATTGGCCATTTAAAGTTATAAATGAAAGTACCAAACCGAAAATTCAAGTTGAATATAAAAATGAAATTAAATCTTTCACACCGGAAGAAATCTCATCAATGGTTTTAACAAAAATGAGAGAAATAGCTGAAGCATACCTTGGTAAAAAAATTAGTGATGCTGTTATTACAGTACCAGCTTATTTCAACGATTCACAACGACAAGCAACAAAAGATGCTGGTGTTATTGCTGGTCTTAATGTTTTACGTATTATAAATGAACCAACAGCTGCTGCTATTGCATATGGTTTAGATAAAAAAGTTTCAGCTGAACGTAATATTCTCATCTTTGATTTGGGTGGTGGTACATTTGATGTATCAGTACTTAAAATTGAAGAAGGTATATTTGAAGTTAAATCAACAGCTGGTGATACACATTTGGGTGGTGAAGATTTTGATAATCGAATGGTAGCACATTTTGTTCAAGAATTTAAACGAAAAACTAATAAAGATTTATCACAAAATAAACGTGGTTTACGTCGTTTACGTACAGCTTGTGAACGTGCTAAAGTAAATTGAATTAGATTTATATATTAGAATGAAATTAATTCTTTTTTCTATCTTATAGCGTACATTATCATCATCATCACAAGCTTCAATTGAAATTGATTCACTTCATGAAGGTGTTGATTTTTATTCAACAATAACACGTGCTCGTTTTGAAGAACTTTGTGCTGATCTATTTCGTTCAACACTTGAACCAGTTGAAAAAGCTTTACGTGATGCAAAAATGGATAAAGCAAGTATACATGAAATTGTACTTGTTGGTGGTTCAACACGTATTCCAAAAGTACAAAAATTACTTCAAGATTTTTTTAATGGAAAAGAATTAAATAAATCAATTAATCCTGATGAAGCTGTTGCATATGGTGCAGCTGTACAAGCAGCTATTTTAACAGGTGATAAATCAGAAGAAGTTAAAGATGTACTTTTACTTGATGTTGCACCACTTTCATTGGTAAGAATGAAAAGAAAAAAAAAATATTATTTTGTTAATAATTTTTCTTTTTTTTTTAATAGGGTATTGAAACTGCTGGTGGTGTTATGACAGCTTTAATTAAACGTAATACAACCATTCCAACAAAACAAACTCAAACATTTACAACATATTCTGATAATCAACCAGGTGTTGATATTAAAGTATTTGAAGGTGAACGTTCCATGACACGAGATAATCATTTACTTGGTAATTTTGAACTTTCTGGTATTCCACCAGCACCACGTGGTGTACCACAAATTGAAGTTACATTTGATATTGATGCTAATGGTATTTTAAATGTATCAGCTGTTGATAAATCAACTGGTCGTGAAAATAAAATTACAATTACAAATGATAAAGGTCGTTTATCAAAAGATGAAATTGAAAGAATGGTTTCTGATGCTGAAAAATATAAGAAAGAAGATGAAACACAACGTGAACGTATATCAGCTAAAAATTCACTTGAATCATATTGTTTTAATATGAAAACAAGTATTAATGATGATAAAATTTCATCGAAAATTTCTTCAGATGATAAAGCTAAAATAACTGAAACAATTGAATCAGCACTTAAATGGATGGAAACAAATCAATTAGCTGAAAAAGAAGAATTTGAACATAAACTTAAAGAAGTTGAAAAAACTTGTTCACCAATTATGACTAAACTTTATGGTAAGTGATGATTTTATATATTGAAATATAGAAAATATTTATCGTTTTATATTATATAGGTGGTGAAGGTGGACCTCAGGCTAGTGGTATGCCAAGTGGTGGTCGTGGTGCACCTAAATCAGGTGGTGCAGGTCCAACCATCGAAGAAGTTGATTAAATAATGAACATACAGATAAAATACACACATTTTAAGTTTGATCAACAAAAAAAAGGAACATACACTCCGTCTTATTAGTTAATTTATTTCTAGTCATCTGTCCTTTTTTTTTTTTCGTTTGTTAAACTCGATCTTCAAGAGTACATTCTTCTTTTTTTCTTTTTCTATAAATGTGTGTGGAAAAAAATGTATGAAAAAAAGCCAATGATTAATAAAACACGCAACATGAGAATGCAACAGTTCTCAATAGATTAATCTTCTTTTTTCTTATTTGATAAATTATGATTAATTAGATGAAAATTTTCTTTGAATATCATAACGTTTCAGTTATGAATGACTCGAATCAAATGTATTTTGTAGTCTCATTAATATTGAAGAATAGTTAATGACAAATGAAGAATGATTTGATGGAAGAGATGTTTCTTTGATTTGAACTATCTATGTGAAATAAGAAAGTGGTATTGAATAATAATCTTTCATAAATTGATGAACCCTATACATTGCAGCTAAAATCGATGAAAGGTGAACATGTTGAATATCTAAAGTATTGTGGTTTCTTAAAGCTGATACATCGATCGGAGGCGGCCACGGCTCTGAAAATCTTAAACTTCGGCAGTGGCACCTACGAAAGTGTCAGACCTGTAAGTGATGGCTGGAAATGTTTAACTATTGTTTTTTGTCTTCAGTGGTAGTCGCCACTGAAGCTTTTCAACAATAAAGTCCTGCAAGATAAGACCTTTTCGTACCCTATACTCTACTCTACAGTGATATTCATCCCCTTGCCCTGCCCCACTCTAAGATTTCCAGGTTTTGGCTTATGTCAGCATGAAGTTTTCTTTAATATGTTTCAGCATATTTTATTAATTTCTAACGATAATCGCATATTTCAAAAGTTTCGTACGAGTAAAATATCATCAAGAATGTCGTTGCTCAATTCTGTCTTCTCTATTTCAAAAGTATGTCGCTTACACTGTAAAGACGTTCACTTGTTACTAAATTCGCAAGAACTCCCAATAGTTGTTGTTCAATAAACTAAGCTGTGGATAGTTCAATGACCATTTGTTCCATCAGTTCAATACTGACATCCCCCTTTTCCGACCCCAAAAATTTATTTTTGTCGATTTTGTTTTTTCTTTTTGTATCTAAAAAAACATTTAAGCATCCTCTATCGAACGGCATATGAATGACAAGTTTTCATTGCTATTTAGATCCTTAAAAAGTGACTTTAGAGATCCCCAATACAAAAAAATCACGTTCTACAGCTCTTTCGTGTTGTAAATAATTTATACTAATATAGTTGTTTCATCATCAAAATATGTTGTGTGAGTCAACGACGCATCCTTCTAGTCGCTTTGCAAATGTATTAATTGATAGCTATGCATAAAAAAAAAATGAAAAATACGAAATATCGAAAAAAGGTGTTTTACATTGTTTCGGGTTTTTCTCAAAATAAACATTTTTTTTTTTACAGAAAAATTGAACTTTTCCCCCTTTTTCTGTCAGACGCTTCGACCGCTTGAGCTGAAATATTTTGTGTGATAACTAGGATCAAATCGAAGTGTATATATTTTCGTTTTTCTTAAAATATTGTTCCAGTGGTTTTCGGCAGATCTTACAAAGTTTGTCCTAGGGAAAAGAAACAGGTTTTTTTTGACAGAGCATCCAGTATTTTAGTTCTCCTAAGCGAAAGAAACAATACTTTTTTTAAAGAAAAAAAAAACATACACCCCAACTTGGTCCTAGTTGTCACAAAACGAAATTCAACCATAAAAAAAAATGAAACCTGGCTGTTTGCGAAGGAGGAGAACTTCAGTTCATTTTGGGCATTTATGTTCCCTATATCTTATAGAAGGAAACATCTGGAAGTTTTGACTCTATGATAACTTTTACTCTACTAGCCGAGATCTATCTATCCTAGAAGTTTGATCATTTTTGGTTGAGCCGTTCTTAAGAAATCCGGAAAAGGAATCAATACGTTTAACATAACAACCGACTTCTTGTTTGTCAGAAAGACATCAGTAGTGTCTTCGAATTTGCTTTCTGCAAAATTTTTAGCAATATGAACAGCACTGTAATGCTACTCTAAACATTTTTTGTATTATCCTTACCGTATCCTGTAGAGTAGAGTAGGACTACCATGCGAGATTCTGTTGGACGAGTTTTTGTAGAGAACTTAGTGGTGAAAAAACCAGACGGTAACATCTCCGAAAAGTGATTTGGAATATCGCATAATTTTTAAAATCAAATATCTATTTTTGTGTCGCGGTGGTGGCTGGAAATTATCTCTAAGAATCGGTGATGGCTCAGTAGGGACCTGCGAAGTCATGTTTTTTTATTCCGAAACCCGACTCCGACTCTGAAAAATTTCTTCTTTACGATTTCGACTCCAACTCCGACTCCGAGAATTTCTATTTTTTTGACTCCGATTCCAACTCCGATAAACTCCGAAATTTTTTTCTCGAAAGCAGATGACCTCTAATGTATTTTATTGTTTAATTTTAGACATGTATAAATCGATAAACAAGCAAAAGAATAAAAGAAAATCAAAGAATCATTAAAAGATTAATTTTCAATTTCTTTTTCATTTGTTGTGTAGTGAAAATAAAAAAACAATAACTAGGAAGTATTCGACATGTACTATACCCAAGCAATAGAGTTCTGCATGGAGTCAATATAGGAGTCGTCGTCAGAGTTAACTAAATTTTACACTAAAAATTTCACTTGAGCACATGGAATTTTTTGAATTGTAGGTTTTGCTCTCTGATATTCACTGTATAAACTGATGCGTTTTCGAGATTCCAAAGACATGTTATCAAAACCTATGGACATGAAAGAAAGTTGAAATCGAACAAAATCGGAGTTGAACGTAACTCTGACTTTCTTTCATGTCCATTGGTTTTGATAACACGTCGTTGGAATCTTCAAAACACATCAGTTTATACAGTAAATATCAGAGAACAAAATCTACAATTCAAAAAATTTCCTGTGCTAAAGCGAAATTTTTGGCATAAAATTTAGTCGACTCCGATGACTGCTCCGAAATCGACTTCGTACAGGACTCTACTAAGCAGTCGATAATTGATGACGACGAGAATTATTGTACTTTGGATGGTACTGAAATATTTTTTGATTAATAGCATCATGTTTTTATGAGGTTGATCTTTCGAATGTTATAGCCAAACGGTGACCCTTTTTTTGGTCATGGAATTGATTCTTAGCATATGTAATGAGTGCTGCCTTTCGGTTTTTTTGTTTGTTAATATGAAAAATAAAGTTATTGTAATATCAAATAGTAAAAGTTCATTAGAGGTTGTTATAATTTCGACTCTGGTTTGACTCCGAAAAATTTTTTCAGTAAACCCGACTCCGACTCCGACGGAGCTGGAATCGGGTTTTGGAATTCCCCGCAGGTCTCTATGGCTCAGCCAATAGGCTTACACCTTTATTTGAGGATGATTTGATAGTATATAAGTTTAAAAAAATCTCAAGACGTCATTTATAATATGAAATTGGTGTTGTAAGATTACTTTTCTTTCATTGTTAATACATCTGAATGGATAGTAGTAAAAAAAGGCTAGTCCAATTGTTTTTATATATTTTATTCAATAATATTTAGAAAAAAATTCGTCAGGTTTCTTATGTCATCCAATTCTTTTAATCACTAATAAATCAGAACAATGTAGTCTTCATATTCAAGTAAAAAGAACGGATGGTATCGATAGATCAAATTACCATTAAAAAGAGAATGGCTGTTAACAAGGACATATCGAGTCCTATATATACAAATCTTATAGCAAATATCTCTGAATATACTTGTCAAAAGCCACTTTTCGAAGTATTTTTTTTTTTTATCTACGATGAACATCTCGCACCAAAAAACATAGTTTGATTAAAAAAAACCTTATATTTGTCATTTGTGTAAGGCTTTATTAAAAATAAAATAAAGAAAATGTTTATGAATGTTCCAGAAAATAGACAACGAGCAATCAAAGTTTTGTTTGAATTCATCAATGACTTTCAACTGTAATCATTGCCAGTTTGTTGAATACAATAGAAATTTGCAAGTTCTTTTCTTCAATAATTTATCATATATTATTTCAAAAAGAATTTTTCGAAATATCTATATATATCAATGATTAATTTCATTTGTTTCAATCATGAATTGAAAATAAGTGTAATAGCATTGATGGATATCAAATTTTTTTCACAATTAATAACAGATGATTAGAGTATGTCAATAGTAGGCTTAATATCAGTGAATAGTCTTCTTATTTGTTGATATTTTTCTTATTGAAACTAAATACATAAATTAATTTAAAACTTTGTCTTGAATTTGAGAGATATGTTTTGTTGAGCAATAATACTTGAAATATTCAAGAAAGCTTTAATATTTTTTTTATTTCATTAAGAAAACTTATACACGTCCAAGATTACTAAAATATTTTATAAATCAAATTAACACAAGCATTTATTGAAATTGAGATTTGTATAAAGGATTATGGTAAGAAGACCTCAATCAAGGAATACTCTTGTATTGAAGACAGTGTTAAAAAATAATCTGCTTTAGTCGTTGTGAAACTAAGAGCATTAATTGACAAAGTTTAGTCATTCTTTTGTTTTGCTAGAAATAACATTAGTTAATTGAAATGTTATTTTAGCTTGTTTGATTGATTTATATACAGTTGCGTTCTTCTTTGTTTTAGTTCATTTGAATACCATACAGTAGTTTGTTTATTGGATTTAGTTGCTGCACTTACCTCTTTAGACGTAGATTTGATATTGGTACTGATTTTATTGTGTACAATCACGCTTCGAATCCGATGATATTTAGCTTGTAGCAAAATAAGTTGTTTTTTTTACTTATTAAACAACGTGATTTATGTATTTACATTCATATTACTAACAAAAATCTTGAAAAACTTATTGACTTAAAAAACCTTTAGTCTACATATCTATAAAGAGCAAACAAAAACCATAATTTCAAATACACACATTAAAATATCTAATTTTTTCCTGATTGATCAAAGTACAAGTTAAATTAAATTGTTCATCGTAGCTTTTTGCGTTCTGAATCTGATTTGCATATATTACTATTTAACTAAACTACTAACAGAGTGATTACTAAAAAATTATAAGTATGTTTTCAAATACAATAGATTTGTTTCATAAATTTATATTTTATCATTTGAAATGAATTCAAACAAAAGACTCATTTTTGAAAAATCATTGAAATTTTATAATTTATTCAAAGTAAAAAATCATATCAATTTTCATTTTATTCGTCAAACAAAAACTTTTGGCGTTCAACTGGTATGTATAAATATATTCTCTAGATAATTCATATAGAACTTATAGAATGATATCATCATACACTTGTATTTTCTTTCTTCATCGACCAACTAACTATTCACAAGACAATATACAGATTAACACACGTGTGTTTGGTCACTAATATTTTTCGTTCTTCTAGTCCACCATCCATCGATTCTTTATGAACCCGTTATTTGTTTTATTTATATTAGAAGTGTGTGCACATTTTGTTATCTATTATTCATTTAGGTAGAACATTATCGTCGGACGGAATAAAATAACGAAAAAAAAAAAAGGAGAAATTTATAGAGAAAACGCAATCGATTTTATAATATAATCTATCATAATACAACAGCGCGGTGTGACTATCAGACGTGCTTGCCTCTGTCTGTTTTGTCTGCCTGCCTGCCTGCCTGCCTGCTCGTCTGATTTCTTAAACGTTGTCGTCTATATATAACTCAAAGTAAAGAATTTATTTTTATATTAAAATAAAAAAAAAACAAAATAGAATTTATTTTTCTTTATTAATTAGTATATCAATCATGTATTCAATGCCAAGTAATTATTGTCCAAGTCCAATTCGATTAATGCCAGCATGTCCACTTGTTCCAACAAGTCCAATGACTGGTGTTCAAACATTTTATATAACAATGCCATCTGATGCTGCTGCAGCCATGTTTTTTGATCCAAATTTAGCTGCTGTTCAACAACAACATCAAACAATAATGATGCAACATGCTGCACATCAAACATCAATGTCACCATTTCGTCATCTACAACAACATCAAATGCTTGTTAGTAATAATAATACAGATTCATCAATTCAACATCATCCATTTCAAACAACACCATCAGCATTTTTCATGGCTGCAACAGCACCACCAGCATCACCTGGTGGAGCATTTTTTCAACAACAACTTGCTTCACCTTTACCATTTTATATGCGTCCAAATGGACAAACAATAAATCAAACACAAATGATGCCTGGTAAAATGACAACATCATCAACAACATTACCTGTATCTGCTCCATCGCCATTAACAGTTATAACAACAAGTACAACAACAACATCAAATGCTAGTTCACCACCACCATCATCAGCAACAAATGCAACAACAGGAACAAATTCAAGTGGTAATGAATTTGGAATTAATTCAGATAATTCAAATACAAAACGACTTTCACCTATTCCATGTGCTCTACTTGAAGATGAAACTATTATTAAACAATCACGATCAGTTACTAGTAAAGCTATTGCTACATTAACCGGTAAACTTACTGATCTTCTTCGTGCATGTAAGTATTTTCAATCATAGATGTTCATTTCGGCTTGAAATCTACTACGGTCCTAGAAGAGACAAGACTACTGCAACACGGCTAAAACTTAGACCTAACGCACCACTATCACGGTGATTTTCGAAAATCTCTTTCGCTCCTATGGTAAATTAGTACTGTCAGATTGAATTCATTAGATTCACAAAGATGATGATCATTGAATTCGTGGACACTGGAAAATTCATGCAATTTTATAATGTCCTTTAAAAAGAAACTGCTACTATCGCCGCCTTGGGCATCTCTGTTGCTAAACTGTTGGCTTGTTTTTGTATGAATAAGAGTAATTTGTTTTTTTGTTTTTGTTTAGGTACATGGTCATTGCCAATACAAGAAGAATTAATGGAATTAGTTTCAGTTGATGATGTTCCTCATGATATTCTTATAAATGCAACAAATTATTTAACTGATATTGCAATATTTCTTGGTTTACGTTTAATTAAATTAATGTTACCAGTTGAAGCTGTAGCTGATGAATTATGGAATGTTTTATGGAAAAATCGTGTTTGTTATTTAGGAGCAGGTTTGATTGTTTTCTATTTTTTTTAGTTTCGTCTGATTTTTAATAATAATAAAAAAATTTCTTTTATTTTTTTTTAGATATTCATCAAACATTAATTGTACATACATTTGAATGTTTTTCAATAAAACCAGCATATGGTTATGGTGAATTACTTGATGTACTAATTGATCGTTTAGGTGATCCATCATTTGATCGTAAATTAATGAATCGTATTGTACGATTATTTCTTAAAGCATCTTGTTTAAAAAAATTTCGTGAAACATCTGAAGATGTACTTGTTTCATTAAGTGAAAATATAACAAATATACATGAATTTGAAATGCGACATAATACAACTATTGTTCGATTATTACTTATAGAAGGTTTGGTTTATTTTTAAGCACAAAAAAAAAAAAGAAAATTTAATTTTTATTTAAAATAGGATTTCATTTTGAAGCTGAAGAATATTCTGAATTAATTGTTGGCAATGATTCACTTGCTGATTATATAAGAAATTTTACAGAAATTTGGTATTCAAATTATAGTATAACAATGTGTATGGATGATTTAATGGTAGCTCGTGAACGTGCACATGATCCATTTAAACTTGCACGATTTTGTGATGAAATGGAAGCATTTAGATTATATACAGGTTAATTATGAACAAAAAATAAATAAATAAAGTAGAATTTTATTTTTATAGAAGTCGAAGCTATGACACCAATATCAATTCTTAATTCACTTCAAACAGTTGTTAATATGTTAAGGTAAATTTTATTTGAGAATTTCTTCTTTTTTTTTTTAAGTTAATTTCATTTTAAAATATTTTAGTATTGTTCATAATGAACATGAATGGCATAATCGACCATCGACTCATAATCCACGATTAACTGTTCGTGCTAAACGTACAATAAAAAAACCTTATGGACATGGAAATTTATTATTACCACAATATCATCATAATCGACAACATAATGATTTTGAAGGAGATTTCTATGGCGAGTATTAACAAAAAAAAAAATTTGTTTTTTTTTCTTTTTTTTCTTCTTCTGAAAATTATTTATTTATTTATTTATTTATTTTGTATATGAAGAAATGAGAATAGTTGTGCTAAAATGGCAGACAGGAGATAAATCAGTCAGATGAAATTGTTCTTTCCCTTATAAAAAATTTGCTTTCTTTTTTTTTTGTATCAATCTATATGTGTAATAGTGTATTATTTCTTTTCTTTCTTTTTTTTTTGTTCATCGCGCATTCGAATGTTTAAAAGTAGAGTAATTCTGAAAGAATATGATTGAGATTAGAATATATAGTTCAGTTAGCTGTTGTTGTTTTTGAAAAAAAAAATATTTTCGTTTGTATTAATTGATAAATGTATTATGTACGTCAATGGATGTATACATCTGTCTTTATTTTTTTGTTCTTCATGATGATAGAATTTTTTTTTTCTTGTTGAACTATATGATTATGACTAGTGAATTTTTTTTCTTTTTTTCTTTGGATCAATAAAAATGTACTCTACTTCTTGATTTATATATAAATGAATGAAATTTATGACAAAAAGAAAAAAAAAGAATTTTTGAAGTATTGTGAAAATATTATCACATTTGATGGATTAAGTTCTGTAATGTTTGATTCAATAGGATTTATAATATCGTGTAAAATAGATTTCGAATAGAAACTAAGAAAATAATTCATTTTAATATGTGAATTTTGAATTGATATACTTTGTCGATTGAGATTAATTACAAAAAGTTTTATTTAATTCTTATTGAATATTAGAAGCAAATTAAAATGAAATAGATTGATATTGATAATATTTAAAAAATAGTTTTTTTTCTCATCCAATAAAGCTTTTAACTCGTTCGATTTCTATTACTTTGCAACAAAAAGATAGTATTGATAGATAAATCTTTAATACTGATTTTTTATTTATATTTTCAATAACCTAATTATCCTGATAGAGGTTAAATTAATGCGAATATCTTAATAACGAGTAATCGAAAATCATTTTACAACCTCTTCAGTAGAGATCGTCGGGTTGGTTCGGGTCTCAAAATTTTTCTAAGATTTCTTGTTTAGGAGTTATGAACCGATCTTTTAGAGGTACAAAAATTAAGGGTACCGCCTGTTTTGAATCATTTCTGATTCTCTACGAGAGTATAATCTATCGAGTATAAATTTCGAAGTATTCTTCAGAAACCATCGATTCTACTTACGATCTCGATCTTATTTTGTTCGATCGAACTGAAATGTTTTCTGAAAGAACTTGAGACAAAGCCTCAAATTTATTTTTAAACTTTTTGAAAAATATCGATCCCTCGATTTTCTATTGAAAAAAAAATATAGGAAGCACCAGCTGGAAAAACAATTTTTGATTTGGTGCTTCCTATATTTTTTTTTAATCGAAAATCGAGAGATTAGTATTTTTCAAAAAACTAAAAAACACATCTGACACCTTATCTCAGATACATCCAGAAAAAATTTCAACTCGATCTGACAAACTAAAGCCTCGATCGTAAGCAGGTTCGGTAGTTTTTAACGTAATCTTGAAAAACCACTGAAGACATACTTTTTAAATTTTTTCCTCGAACATGGATCCCATCATTTGCGATAATCTAACTGTAATAAAAATTTAAGACCAACAGGTTCTCTAATAAATAAAATAAGAATCAAAAGCTTCAAAACAATCATTTAGAAATGGCTGAGTTCACTTTACAAGTCTATTTTTCATAGAAATTACTCACTGATGACAAATGACTTACAGAAAACTAATCATTACTATAATATTTTATAAAGAAATGTTCGGTCATTCATTGGCTGCCTTTGAAATCATTTGCACTTCTACTTTGGACTATTTTTGGTGCATTGAGATTTGTCCAAAATTAATTTACGAACTTCTAAAAAGATCATCTCCAAATTCCTAAAAAGTTTTGAACACATATTCTGGAAGAATAAAAAATTCTGATTCTAACCTAATATTTGACTGAAAACTGAACAAACATTTTGTCAAATTATTTCTCGGCCATGTATTACTTTTCTTTTTTGCTCTATTTCATGAGCAACACACTAGCCGCCCTACAATGTGTAGTGTTTACTTTCTCTAACAAAAAACTTTAGAGAAACAATAGGGACTTATAACTTCCGAAAATTTCCACGTGTCCTATGTATATTAAAGTAAAACTTTTTTAATCTAACGTATACATATTCAACATCTGGAGGGTAAGAGTTGAATAGTTTGTAAAATGTCAGACAAATTTTTATATGACTATCAAGACATGAGCACACTGATCGATCAGTGGACGTAGAGTGATAGAAAAAAACACATACACTAATACGAAGAGTGTTCAATATATTATCTTGATGAGTTAATACCGAAGCTTTTCTAGATATCATATGCCTTTAATAAAAATTAAGTTCCAGAAAAAAACAATGACTAGCTTTCGCTATCGAATTGTTCACTGAAGGAGAGAGACGGATGAACGGCTAAGGAAAAACAATTTCAAAGCTTATTGCTCCTTCTAAAAAAACTGTATCTGCATTGTTTATAATCTATGAGTGTTGAATGTCTCATTAAAATCAACCGAAAAAATTTTTTCTTCACAGTTCTAACAACAAAAAGAAAGGGTTAAATATGAATAAATGCACTTTTACACACACACACAAAAGTTTTACTAATAATATCGACGTATAAAACATCCACACAATTATTCATCGTTGCATCTATTGATTGTATAAAAGATATGGCACAAATGTATATTCTTGCAAATAAAAAAAAAAAACCTACATTTAGCTTTTATTCATCGTATACTCATCATTTATAAATAAATGACTTTTTGATTGGACTAAATGCGTTCGACAAAATAATATATTCAACCTATCGCTATCGAGAGCGATTGCAAAGAAGAAAAAAAAACGAAAGAAAGCAAAAAAAGAAAGAAAGCAACAACTCGTTATTGCCAATATATTGAAAGTCATTTATATAGGCTCCCAAACGACCATTATCTCAAGTTGATTGCACCATTACCGATACAAAGAATCTCATCAACTATTCAATTGACTAACTTTCAATCATCTCATCTGGTCTATCTAATTCCTTCTCAATTAACGTATTCTTTTTCTTATATGTGCTCCCATTAAATTCACAAAACGATGTTCGTCAAGACCGATTATCGCCGCTATTAACGTCGTTAAAGTCCCGCGTGTGTACTCAATTATCGGACAAATGGCTACCTTCTCTAGCACTTCTGCTGCTATTGCTGCTGCTTCTAATGTATTGTCAACACCGTCATCATTAGGCTATCATCATTTATTTTCAACATCAAATAGCAGCAATAATAATAATAATCATAATAATAATAGTAGTAACAGTACATCATCTGATGAAAATACAACACAAATAACAGCGATTAATAATGTTAATATTAATAATTCATTTGATACAAATACATCATATTTAAATAATACTGATTTTCCATTATGTTTATCATCAAATCAACAAACAAATCCATTTGATGTTGTTGTTTCATCATCAACATCACCTTCTTCACATTTTAATCATGATCCACTTGTACGACATTTTTTAAATTCTAGACAATATGATTCCAATCTTACAGGAAATTATTATACAAATATGTCAACAGGATCATTTGTTAATGCTTTTGATTATCCATATACAAATATTACACCAACAACAATAACAACAGGTCTTGCTTCGGATACAGTTGTATCAAATCATGGTTTTCCATCAACATTAACATCAAATAATTTACAACAACATCATCCTCATTCTCATTCATTTATGAATTCTTATATGTCATATACACATCCTCAACAACAAATATTAAAACCATCAGATACATTTTCACTTTCAATTGAACACCAACAACATCACCATCAACAACAACATCATCATCAAGGAAATCAACAACAAAATATTTATCCATGGATGAGACGTATTCATAATAGCTGTGGTAAGTTTTTGTGTTTTATCTTAATTTCAGACTGAAACAAGAAGAGATATGAAATTCTATTCGTTTCTTTCGTCTTCTGTTTCTTTTCTTTTTTTTTTTGTTTATATATTCTAACATCGACATTTTTACCATATACACACAATCTTTTTTATGGGCTATTTATGTCGTTCTCTTGCGCGTGAGAGGAGATTTATGGGCTCGTTCTGGTCGGGACGAATGAATAAATGAGTTTGTATATACATAGATATGACGTTTGCCTTGCAATCTGATTGGGACAAAAGATACGAGAAAAGGAAACACACGCATACAAGATGATGCCGACTCATTGTCAAAGACTCAACAGATGGTTCTAATGGTCATGTAATCGATGAGACTATATAGAACAATAGTAAAAAGAAGAAAAAAAGAAAAGGCATCAAACATGTCGGTGTATATATATATATATATTCAGGAAGTTCTATGTTGAGAAAAAACTATGCAATGTCAAGTGCGTGCGAGATTAATGTCTTTTCTTTTTTGCTCGAATTTCATTTTGTGTGTTTTTATCTGATGATATGCAAACGAAAAGCAAAAAAAAAATAATGATCTATGAATTTTTATCATGCGATTTTAGATCCACATATTGGTGAAACGAAACGAACGCGTACATCATATTCAAGATATCAAACACTTGAATTAGAAAAAGAATTTCATTTTAATCGGTTTGAATAACATTTGATGAACAAAAAAAAAAAGAATTTATATTAATATTTTTTTCTTTTTTGAATATTTCAATGTAGATATTTATCACGAAGAAGACGAATTGAAATTGCACATAGTCTTGCATTGACTGAACGACAAATTAAAGTAAAAAAAGCAATTTAATCAAAAATTTTCTTTTAAAAAATATATTTTTTTTTAGATTTGGTTTCAAAATCGGTAAAAAAGAGATTCTTTTTTTTAAAGAAATTTTATTTCCATTTTTTTTTTGTTTTTTTCTAGTCGAATGAAATGGAAAAAAGATAATAAATTACAAAGTTTAAATGACATAAGTAAAAATGAAGATAAAGCTATATCACTGAATATAAAACGAGAAAAACAAGAAACATCATCATTATCAACAACAAATGTGAATCGTACGATTAATAATGAACATCGTCAATCATCATCGTCATCATCAACTCCAAATAGTTTGAATTGAAAATTTATATTTTTCAACTTATATAAGATATTTCTGCCGAGTTTTTTGTTTGTTTTTTTTCTTTTCTTCTTTGTTCCATTTACTAACATATATAATTATTATCGTTGACAAAATTTAATGTACTCCGATATTTGTTTAATACAAATTCATGATTCTTTTTTTTTTTATACTCAAGAGAAAGAGATTGATTACTTTGCATAGCTAGAAGATAGCAGATTGAAAATTTCATATGAAAATTAATTGACAACTACCGGATTAATATTAAATAAGAATTTGTGTTTTACTCTCACATTACAAAAGACTTCGAGAAAGACAATCACAGACTATGCAACACAATCAGTATGGACTCAATCTTCATAGAAGCATTGTCTGTTCTTCTCCCGATACTGCAGACTATTTATAATCCAATCATGTAAAACTATGCATACATTACTTGGTTTACTAGATTAAAAAGAAAACAATTCACAAGAAATCTAGTAGATAATTTTTTTCATTTATTGTATCTTTGATCTCAGTGCATCTATAGTCATAAAATAGTGGCTTGATGATCGGCTGAATTGAATTTCTGAGTATGTAGTCTATAAAAACGACTTGTTATTATCTATATCTTCCATGTTAAAATTTAATATTAGTGCGAAAGTTGCTGCTGAAATCTAGATTATAGGTGATGAATAATAAACCAGTGATTGCTGCCTGTTGGAAATATCCTTGGACAATCGTCGAGTCTCGCTAATGTTTGAGGCCGCCACGGCTGAGGTGACTATGTTGCTCGGCTGATATTCACTAGGTACTAAGTCCAAATTTCGGTATCACAAGTCATCGAATAATTCTGGACAAGTCGCTAACGACTGTTTGTTTCAGATCTCACCCGTGATGCATGTTAACTATATTGTGATATATACCTGCTCTTGTAGTTAGTTATTATGTATGATTAGCTCAAGCAGTTGAATATAAGAACTCTGCGCCGGATCCGCCTTCATTCCAGAGCTACAGCTAGTCATAGTTGTAGAGAAGATATCAAGCTACTGAATCTGTCATTAGGTAGTACCTCATACCACAAGGTAGTCGAAATCACAGGAGTATTCTTCCTTTCACTACTGTTTTAGAATGGTGGGAGACGCCTCTGGGATGTTGGTAGCCACTCAGTCTTGCTGTGCTTGGCTTAGCTACCTACTAGTAGGACATAAAATCCACCTGGCTAATGAACAAAGATGAAAACAGTGCATCAACATACTTAAAACAATGCTCTTCAGTGAGAGGAATGTGAGGTAAGGTTTTCGATAACGTAGGAAGCAAAATAGCATTCGAACATAATGCATACACTTGTGAAAATGCTGAGTCACAATTGTCAGGTACTTAATGATGGGTATAATCGAAAATAAGTCTGCAGGACTTGGAGATTCTATTCGAACAAATAGCCCTAGCTCTGAAACTCTACGGTAACCAAACAAGAAGCTCACCAAGAGAACATTGTTTTTAGCAGATTTTTTGTCCTTTGGTCTTCCACCTAATACTGAAAAGTAGGGTATATTTAATAATAATAATAATATATAATAAGCTAATGATTTAGACTATTCATAGGTTTGAAATGAACCTTCATGCGTTAATCGACTGGATATAAAGAGACAAAACATTATTTTCTTCGAGCTTATTGATACAAAAACCTGATATCCAACATAAACGAAATATCCATAACATAAAACACAACTTTAAATGGTTAAATTTTACATACGGCATTGTATCTTTAAATTCATTGAAAACTTGATAGAAGTTTAAATTTACCTACTGCAATTCTCTCGCACTAAGAAGATCTATTTTCTTTTCAAAAACTTAAGTATTTCATTCATTTCAGTCCGTATCAAATAATGTATATTGTGTTATTTCTATATGCATTTACAATACTTGATGCACATAAATATACATAAAAATAACTTTATAGAAAGAACAACTATAATTAAACAAAAAAAACAAAAAATAAAAATAATAACTTTGAAAATTCAAATACAATAGCGCAAGGAAAAACAAAATTAAGATTAAATATTGCTTTTCTTTTGATAAAAGAGATTCACTATTGACATAGTTGAGAAATAAAAATAAAAATTTGAAATATAAGAATATGGATTAATATTATCTCGGTGTATTTAACCAACGCTAAATAAAAAAAACAAAAAAGTCAAATTCTACAAAATATTCGAATCCAATATTATTTTACTTACAGTCTGACGATATTTTTCATGTTCAATGATTACTGATTTTTCATCATCAGTATAACGAAGCAGTGCACAAATGACTTTGACCATAGTCTAAAAAAAAAAGAAATTATTCTATTAATCTATTGATTATATTTAACATACCATTGGATCAGTTCCTGTCATATAAGCAAAAATAATTTGTTTTAAATAATCAATTTCAGTTGGTTCAACTACTAATGAATGTAAAGTATCATTGGAATTCGTTAGAGATGAATGTAATTTTGAATCTAAATATTAAATAAGTATTCATAATCATATATTTTCTCTTTACCTTCAATATTTGTTTGAGCAGCATGATCAGTTGTTCTATGAGAAAAAAAAAAAATATTTTTGATTCTGTAGTAGAGAAGTGCGTCGCGACTGCACTACTATGATAGTATTAGTTTTTCACCAGTCTCGATCAATTTGGTCTAGTCTCGGTAACTTCCTTTCTAGTTGTCTCGATCATGACCTCGGAAATTCTAACTTGGTTCCGGTCTGGCACTGATAGATCTTCAAAATTTGGTTTCAGTCTCGGCAAGCCTTCAAATCTTGGTCTCGCATATCTCCAAATATGTCTGCTTTATTTTTTTTTCAACTTACTGAATAGGAATGTTTTCTCTACTGTTGAAGCTTTCGATTTGTGTTTGAAGATCATTTATTTGATTTTCAAGTTCTTGTATAAGATGTTGATTTATTTGTTTGTTCTAGAAGATTATATTTTGTTATTCATTTAAAGAATAATTTTACAAAAAAAAAAACAAACTTTTAATTGTTCTTCAGCGACTGATGCTCGTTGTTCAGCTTCGATAATTCTGTGTTTCATATTATTTTCATTTTGATAGCTTCTGTCTAAATTAAAAATACAATTTGATTAATAAAATAGAAAAAAAGTTTTTTTTTTTTTTGAAATTTTACCAATTAATTCTTGATGTTGTTGATTGAATTGTTTTTCTTTTTCTTCCATTTGTGAATTCATTTCTTTAGTAAGAGATTTTAATTTTGTACTATATTCTTCTTCTTGTTCGTTTAACTTCTGTTCATATTCTTCAGTAACCATACGTAAACGAATTTCTAACGAAAAGAATTATTTTTCTTTTTTGGAAAACAAATATTAATGATTTGAAATTTACCTAATTCTTGATTATGTGTTTGTTCACTATTAGTTATAGTTTCTTTCATTTTATGTAATGCTTTACGTAATTTTATTCCACTTTCTTGAGTTTGTTTAAGAGTTAATTGAAGTTCTTGAATTTTTTCATCACATTCTTTTAATTGTCGATTTTTGTCAATATTTTCTTGTTCATAAGTTAATTTTTGAGAATCTAATTCAGCTATACGACGAATATTTTCTTCATTAGTATTTCTTAATGAAACAATTTGATTATGTAATGTTTCAATTTCTGATCGAACCGAATCATGTTCAGTCTAAATCAAATAATTAATTTCAATTATATATTTAGAGTTAATTACAATTAGACTTTTTCAATTCAAAAAGTATTTTATCCTAGTATATGTGTGAAAAAGATTGATACAACTAAACATGATTTTACATAGTTAATCAGAAGAAGATTTGTAAGTACTTTAGAAAGTAAAATCATATACCATCTCGTCTTGTGGACGTATGACGATTAGAGTCCGCCAAGTTCGAAACTTTTTGATCCAGACCATACTAGATCAAACTTTCGGATTCGGACACAGACTCGACCGACTCTAATTCTGCTTAATTATGATTAAATTATTTTTTGTTGAGAAATGTCCTTGAACGATTAATTACAGTTTCAATCAAGGGTGTAAGTGTAGTACTTGAGTACTATATTTTACTGTAAGGTGCTGAAAAGATGTTAAAGTGCCTGAGAGGTACTGAAGTGCTAAGACTTCCAAACCTGCATTTTCCCTCTTGATCTCATTTGTTTGTAGACTTTTTTAAGGATCATTTTGTAGTTGTTGTAAATTTTGGTTCAGTTAAAACTGAATATTAGTCATGATCTAATGGAAACGAGAAAGTATTTTAATTTTATTCTGGAAGTAAATCATTAATGAATATATTTTATTGTGGCTGTTTCGATTGAACAAATTATATGTTATGGCAAAAATCTTTTTTTTTTATAGCAATGGCGAATCTAGAGTTTTGGGAAAGGTGGGTAATCATAATCACAAAACGTTTTTTTAAAGTTCGTATGAACTCATTTTTGAGAATTTTCTACTATAAGAAAAATTGAAAAATATTTCAGAAGGAAAGGATGATTGTCCCAAACGTTTCCTGCTTGAAAGTTACTTTTTTTCGTATAGAAATTTATTAAAAATTTCATATTCGAGAAACTATTCATTTTGTTTGATAATGAAATAATTTCTACGTATTGAAATCCATATCTGAGCGTATATTCGAAACTCTCGTCACAATAGAAGCTTCTAAAACATTCAAGTATTCAGAAGTTTTATGGAGACTTCTATTATGGGACGAGCTACTAATACAACTTGGTTGTGAGTGCTATCGAAGAGAAGACTCACACATTCACATAGAGTTCGTCTTCATGAGCCTTTGTCGTTAAGTTATAATTGTTTTAGTGAGTAGATACCCAAAAATCAATTAACAGAATTTCGATTTAAAATTTTGCTTATACATAGATCTAATGACTTTTAAGTTATCTTGGAAGTTTCAGTCGAAGAGAATGTTCTTTCGTCAAAATATTGAATTTCCAAAAATAGCTATTTGTCACAAAAATTGAGTTCACTTGAAAATTCAATAAGTCGATTGAAAGAATATTCTTTTTGACTGAAGTTTTCGGGATATTCTAAGAGTCATTAGTCCTATCTATATGCAAAATTTTGGATCAAACCTTCGTCATCCGATCTGTTTGGGAGTACCTAAAAGTGTGTCAAAACCCCAGTAAACTGGCCATAAGTCAGCGCCAAAGTCCCATTTGAACGAGTTCTTTTATGCTGTTGCTAATCTCACAGAAACTTGTCTGTGGTTTCGATATGAGTTTAAATAGTAGGTGTCACTTGGGATAGTGCTCTCGTCAGACGTCGATAAAAAATGAAAATAATTTCTAGATATTATTCTTAATCATGAGTATTTGATGTCGAGAGAAACATTTCTTATATACAGATGACCCCTGACAAAGACTAATTTAATTGCAGCTGCAAAGTTTTGCTCGAAAACTTGGAATTGTCTGGTTACAATAGAAGCTCTAGAGCTTCTATTCCGTCTTTTATATCGATCGTTGTAGAAGGATCTTCTATTTCAGAATTGATGGAATTTTGCAAAACTGACCTGAAGTTCTTTAATTCTTTTTTCAGCTTGCTCAAGTTTATTTATATTTTGTTTTCTCTTATTCATATTTGTTTCTGTTGTTTGCATTTGTAATCTAATTGTATCTAATTGATTTTCTAATCCAGCTTTTTCTGATAAAATATTATTAAATTTTTCTTCTAATGTTGTATGTACTTCCGTTAATTGTTTTTGTTCAAATAAAAGTTTTTCTTTTTGATTATTATTTTCTGTCAACGAAATTTTTTCTTGTGAAAGTTGTTCAATTTCATCCATTTTTGATTGTAATATTTGTTGAATTTTATTAAGATTTGTTTGTAATGAAAGAATTTCATTTGTTTTAGTTTTTAATTCATCATGTAAATCATTTAATTCACGATGAAGTTTATCATTAAGAATTTCTTGTTGATGAAAATCTTGTTGACATTGAAATATCTGTTCATCTTTTTCAATTAATGATTTATTAAATTTTATTTCAAGTTGTTCATATTGTTTAGTTTTATCAATAAATTGACATTGAATATTTTCATATTGAATATCAATTGAATGTTTATCTTTTTGTAATTGTTCATAGGATTGATTTAATTGATTTAATTGATTTTCATATTTATTTTTATTTATTATTAATTCTTGTTTAGTTTTATTTAATTCATCTTTAATATCATCATATTGTTGTTCTAATTGCTGTAATTCATTATGAGTATTTATTTGTTCTGATTTTTGTTTAATTAAATCATTATTTAAACGTTTAGATTCAGCTATTAATAATTGATATTGTTCCATTTTATGTACAAATTGTTCAAGAAGTTCATCATCATTAGTTGTATCAACATTGAGTATATTTTTTAAACGTATTATTATTTGTGATTGTTGTTTTTGTTCATCAAGTAAATGATCAAGTTGAATATTTTGTTGTAAAATTTTTTTTTCATATTCATGAAGTTCTTTTCTTAAATGTTCATTTGTATCTTGATGAGAATCAATTTCAGAACGTTGAAATAATAATTGTTGATGAAGATTATCAATTTCTTCACTTTTTTCATTAATCATTGACAGATATTCAGATTTTAAATTTTCAATTATTTGTTGATGTTCTATAGTTAATCGTTCGACATATGATTGTTGTGTATGTTTTAAAGAATTGGAATTTGATTGTTCATCGGAAAGATTTTGTTTGAGTATTTCGATCTGTACAAGTAGAAAAAGAAAGAAGAAATTTGATTAATAAATTATATTAGTATGTATGGAACATAAGTGCTATTATGATCAAGTATATTAAACGAAAGATGAGAAAAAATGAATGGGTAAATTCAATGATTTTTTTGGATTCATGCTATTATGCATAACGACTCTTCAGAAAAACAAAAGAATAGATGATTAGATAAGTCGAAATTGAGTTTCACATAGAACAAGTAAATTCTTGAATACATAATAAATTTTCTAACTGATAGTGACTTTGAAGAAGAGCACCCCGAATAGAACTATATACGTTCCTAATAAATTCTTTCTATTGAACTCTACAGGAAAAATATCATTTCGGAATTTGTCAGTTCACATTTGTCTTTAACTAATTGCAATTAATATTCAATTATTACTTTAATTGATCTATCAAAAAATAGTCGGTGCGTGTGTAAAGGAAACCTGCCAATCCATTCGGGTCACCATGGTTGAGTGACTATGTTGTTCGACATGTATCTATAAGGTACTATGTGCAAATCTCAGTACCACTAGCTATGGAATGTCCCTAAACGCATTACTAACGACTATTTGTCTCGGATCATCCGTCTGATAGCATGTTGGTTACGTGGTGACATACGCTTACTCTTGTAGCTAGTGAAGCTCTAGCAATTGTGCGCAAGAATTATGCATTAGGCTGATTCTCTGTCCAGAGCTACAGCTAGTCACAGCTGTAGGGAAGATATCAGGCTATTGATTCTGTCGTGAAATAGCATCTCATACCGCAAGGTAGCTGAAAGGCAGGAGTATTCTTCCTTAGCGCACATGCACACTTTAATGCTTGAATTTCACCTTAAATAGTATGCAGATGGTAATCTTACTGGTATACAACTTGCAATCAACTGTGAAGAATGTGTGAAATAAGACATATTATTAAGTAATCATTTTTTTCACATTTCTAACACTGATTGTGAAAATTCTTTTCACTGGCAAATATACTTCTTTTTTGTGCTACTTGTTATTGAAGATATCTCTCTGATGGTTTTTTTTTCTTGTAACCGAACACTGAAAAAAAAGTGTTCATGATCATTTCGACTCCTATGTAGGACTCTAAGGATAACCACATTGGAGAACTTTAATCTGTTCCAGAAAGGAAACATGCGTATTTTTATTTAAGTTGTCTTTCTCTTAAAAAAGAAATGACTTCTTTTGAAAAACATTCACACCTCTTTGTTTGTCTGTTCTAATAATTGTCGATCAATAATTTGTGATTCTTCGAGTGCTTCAATAGTTTGTTTTAATTGTTTACATTGATCCGTCAGTGTTGTATTTGTTGCTTTTAGTTCATCAATATTAATTGTAAGTTGAATGATTTCATTTTGTTTTTCTTCAAGTTGTTTTCTAACTAATTCTTGTTCTTCAATAGTTGTTAAATTCTTTACTTTTATTTCATCAATAAAAGCTGTAAGATGAAGAATTTCATTTTGTTTTTCTTTAAGTTGTAAATTAATTTGTTCATGTTCGTCAGTGATTTTTGAATTTCTTATATTCATATTATCAATCATTTGTTTAAGTTCAAATATTTCATTTTGACTTTCTTTAAGTTGCAATTGAATTTGTTCATATTCGTTAATCATTGTTGAATTTTTAATTTTTATTTCATCATTTAATACATTTAACTGATTCAATTCATCTTGTTTATCTTCAAGTAGTTTTTCATATTGTTCACATTTTTTACTTAACGTTAGATTAGTTTCTTTTAGTTGATTTATAGCTGTAGTAAGTTCACTAATTGTATTGTGTTTATCTTCAAGTTTACTTTCAAATTGTTTATTGATTTCGACATTGGTTGCTTTCGTTTCATCAATAAGAGTCGTAAGATGAACAACTTCATTTTGTTTATTGTCACATTGTTTTTTAATCTGTTCAAGATCTTCAGTCATTTCCGAATTCTTCTCTTTCATTTCATCAATAATGATGGTAAGACGATCGATTTGATTTTGTTTTTCTTCAAGTTGTTTTTCATATTGTTCACATTTATTATTCAATATTAGATTAGTTTCCTGTTGCTGATTTATAGCAGTAGTAAGTTGACTAATTTCATGTTGTTTATCTTCTAGTTGATTTTTAATCAGCTGTTGTTCTTCAATGGTTGTTGTGTTTAGTTCATTAATTGTCGCATTGAGTTTAATAATTTCATGACGTTTATCTTCAAGTTCATTTTCTATTTGTTTATGGAATTCATCATTGGTTGATTTCATTTGATTGATAAGAGTCGTAAGATGAAGAACTTCATTTTGTTTATCGTCAAATTGTTTTTTAATCTGCTCAAGGTCTTCAGTTATTTCCGAATTCTTCTCTCTCATTTCATCAATAATGCTAGTAAGACGATCAATTTCATTTTGTTTTTCTTCAAGTTGTTTTTCATATTGTTCACATTTGTTATTTAATGTTAGATTAGTTTCTTTTAGTTGATTTACAGTTATAGTAAGTTGAATAATTTTATTTTGTTTATCTTCAAGATCGTTTTCAATTTGTTGATTGATTTCGACATTGTTTGCATTCATTTGATCGATAAGATTCGTAAGTTGAAGAATTTCATTTTGTTTATCTTCAAGTTGTTTTTTAATTTGTTCAAGGTCTTCAGTTATTCTTGAATATTTCTCTTTCATTTCTTCATTAATAGTAGTAAGATGATTAATTTGATTTTGTTTATCTTCAAGTTCATTTTCTATTTGTTTATTAAGTTCAGCATTCGTAGCTTTTATTTCATCGATAAGACACGTAAGATGATGAACTTCATTTTGTTTATCTTCAAGTTGTTTTGTAATTTGTTCATATTGTTCTGTATTTAATTCATAATTAGTCTTGATTTTATTAATGATATTAGTAAGACGATTAATTTCATTTTCTTTTTCGGTAAATCGAATTTGAATTTGTTCATATTCTTCGTTGGTTGTTGTATTACTTTGTTGTAATTCGTTAGTTTTAGATTGAAGATTATTGATTTCATTTTGTTTTTCATCGAGTTCGTTTTCGATTTGTTTGTATTTATTATTGAGTTCGACATTGTTTGCTTTTATTTCATCGATAAGAGTCGTAAGATGAACAACTTCATTTTGTTTATCTTCAAGTTGTTTTTTAATCTGTTCAAGGTCTTCAGTCATTTCCGAATTCTTCTCTCTCATTTCATCAATAATGCTAGTAAGACGATCAATTTCATTTTGTTTTTCTTCAAGTTGTTTTTCATATTGTTCACATTTATTGTCTAACGTTAGATTAGCTTCTTGTAATTGATTTAGAGTTGTAATAAGTTGACTAACTTCATTTTGTTTACCTTCAAATTTACTTTCGAATTGTTTATTGATTTCGACATTAGTTGATTTCGTTTCATCAATAAGAGTTATGAGTTGAAGAACTTCATTTTGTTTATCATCAAGTTGTCTTTTAATTTGTTCAAGGTCTTCAGTTATTTTTGAATATTTCTCTTTCATTTCTTCATTAATAGTAGTAAGATGATCAATTTGATTTTGTTTATCTTCAAGTTGATTTTTAGTCACTTGTTGCTCTTCAGTGATTGTTGTATTTATTTCATTAATTGTCGTATTGAGTTTAATAATTTCATGACGTTTATCTTCAAGTTCATTTTCTATTTGTTTATTAAATTCAGCATTTGTAGCTTTTATTTCATCGATACGACTTGTAAGGTAAAGAAGTTCATTTTGTTTATCTTCAAGTAGTTTTTCAAATTCTACACATTTATTATTTAATGTTTGATTAGTTTCTTGTAGGTGATTTAGAGTTGTAGTAAGTTGACTAACTTCATTTTGTTTATCTTCAAGTCGATTTTGAATGAGTTGTTGTTCTCCAATGGTTGTTGTGTTTAGCTCATTAATTGTCGTACTGAGTTTAACAATTTCATGATGTTTATCTTCAAGTTCGTTTTCGATTTGTTTTTTGAGTTCTACATTGATTACCTTCATTTCATCGATTAGAGTCGTAAGATGAAGAACTTCATTTTGTTTATCTTCAAATTGTTTTTTAATTTGTTCATTTTCTTCGGTGATGGTTGAGTTTATTACTTTGATGTCATTAATAGTAGAATTAAGTTGTAAAATTTCGTTCTGTTTTTCTTCAAGTTGTTGTATATTATCTTGTAATTGTTTTGTTGTAATATTAAATTCTTCTTGTAATTTAGTTAATTCACTTTGTGATAATTTAAGATTTTCGAAATCATTTTCAAGTTGTTCAATATGAATAGGTTTTTGTTTAGATTCGTTTTCATATTGATTTAATTGTAGTTTTAGTTGATTAATTTCTATTTGTTGTTGTTCAATTTGTGAGTTCAGCATTTCAATTGATTTTTGATATTCATCTTGTAACGACTGAGTTGATGAATCTTTTAACTTTTCAATTTCTTCAATTTGAGATTTAAGATGATGATTTTCTTCTTGTAGTTGTTGGATATTGATATTAAATTCATGTTGCTTTTCATTGATAAGTTTTGTAGTTTGTTCTAAATGTTCTTGTTGTTGATTTTCAAGTGTTTGTCTTAATTGAGTACAATTAGTAAAAGATTCATCATAATCTTGTTGTAATTTTGTGAGAGAAGTTTTTAGTTGATTAACTGCATCATCTAGAAGAAAGACAAAAGTAAAATTTTGATATTATCAATAAGAAATAGGAAATAACTGATGTCTCAACTTAATAAAATTTAAACATTGGATTAAAGTGTTCGATGAAGAATAACGAGTGTTGCATCTAGTACGTAAGCCAAGGAAAGCAGAGCCCTTCCAAAGATTGAATTGATCTTCCTGGAGTTTGTGATTATGCTACTACATACTATATGACACTCGTTCGAAAAATCACCATTCAATCTTTCGAAATTTTCGTTGCTCTGAATGAAAAAATCTGACTGAAATCCTGATTTGAGATTGTATACTTCGCATGCTCTTACGAAATGTTGGTTGTAATAGACTTTTTTTAAAAGAAATACTTTGATTGAAGACATTAGAAATAAATGAATTTTTATTTAAAAGTTTCCTACACAAGTTGCTCGATTACATCTTGACTCTTGAGGACGAACTGTAACTAGAAAAACTAGTTATTTTATAATAAATGATAATTGCAGAAGTATAGTGTCTTTTTCTAATTGATTAAATGATCTGTCACTTTGTAAGTCTCATTTCGTTAAATTAATCTAATGTATTCATTTTAAATAGCTTCTCTTCGAGTTACTAACCAACTTTAGATTATTGAAAGAAATATTCTTATCTGAATTTTGTTTTGTGATTTCTATTATTATTCAACAAATCATCATAGGAAACTTTTTCTGTAAAATATATTTAGTTTTTTTTTTTGACTAGAAGAAAGCTTTCGTTCTTATTAAAACTTTTAGTGTATTCTAAATTCAAAAAACTATAAAGATACATTTAGATATTCTATTTGTTATAAATGTTTATAAAATTTCATCTAACCTATAGATTGTTGTTTTGTTTGTTGTAATTCATTAATTCGATTTTCATATTCATTTTTAAGATTATCAATAGTGGTGAAATATTGTTTATTTTGTTGTTTTTCATTATTAATTTCTTGAGAAATATTTTGATGATCATAAATTAATTGTTGAACTCTTTCGAATAAATCTATTGATTCATTCGATGGAAGAATATTTTCAATATTTTTTATCATTGCTCGTAAATTATTTAAATCTTCAGTTAAATAAGAAATATTCATTTGTTGATTTGATAAAATAAGTTTTAGATCTGTATATTGATTTATATCTTGTTGAAGTGATTGAATTTGTTTTTGAAATTCTTCATTTGTTGTTTCAAGTTTTGTTTTATCATTAACTAATTGTTCGATATAATCTAATTTTTCATTAAATTTAATTAATAAATTTTCATATTTTTCTTTAATATCTTCATCAATTTTAATTTGTTGTTTTGTTAAATCACGTTCATTTTCAAGTTGTCGAATATGAAGATTTGATAATTCTAATTGTTCTTGTAAACGTTGTTTATCTTGTAATAAAAGACTTATATCCGAATCAAAATGTTCTTGAACTTCCACTGATGATGTTGATATTTCGTCTGAATGACGATCCTAAAATGAAAAATTTTTATTTCAATTTTAAATAATATTTATATCATGTATTATTTAACTCTACATAAGTAAAAAATATAATGAAAAAAAATAAACTATATAGCTAACTATAATACTCCCATAGTAATATAATACACAAATACAAGACATACAATATAAAATAACATGCAAGATGCATAATAAGTCAAATATCTCACGAGCTAATATGTCTATTTTATTATTTAACCGACTCACCATAATATTTCTTACAAAATGCTTCAAACTGAAATGATCTTCTCCTTTTGAAGTTGCCTATAAATATATATATCGAGAGTATATCTCCCTAGTTATATATATATATACAGTAAAACCTCTCTATTCTGAACACCACTGGGACTTTCTGAAATCGTTCATAATTACGGGGTGATCATAAAGGAGAGGATTTTGCAAAAAAACGTTTTTTTAATTTATATCACATGTTTTCATCTTTTCCTATTGTTCAACAGATTTTATTCATTAGATTTGTACATTCCATATATAATATGAGAAAAAATTTTCCACTATCAAAATTTTAAGTACGTGGATCAGGTGCATAAAATATTCAGATATGGAATACTATTTGATCTCTGCAAGGTGTATGTCACGTCTTATAGACGTGTGTAATGATATCTTGATCAAATTCATTTTTGAATTTTCTTTTAATCTTTTATTTCTGAGCGATTCGTATTCATCTGTGTTTTCTAATTTTCTTTTTAACATATTTGAAACAGCTCCAATTGAAATATGAAATTTTTCACTTAATAGTCAATAAGAAAGCCCATTTTCTTTCTCTTTTATAAGGTTTATTTTTTCTTCTAAACAAAGTTCATGACGAATTGTCACATTTAATAATTTAACATTAACATATAAACATACAAGACGTAACTCAGTTACGCATAGACGAGATTGAAAATTATTTTTTTTTTGTCTATTTCTCTCTCTAAGCCAATTACAAAACTAGCCAATGAAATACATTGTGTTAATTCAAAGTTTAATGATGTCCTCTATAACGTTCACATTACAGAGGAAAATTATACAGTCGGAACCGTAAAAAAGTGTTCACATTCAGAATCGTGAGGATTTCATTAAGGAGGGGGCCAAAACCAGCAAAAATCGCTCGGGGGGACCGGAGAGCGTTCAGTATTACAGGTTGATCATTAAGGAGGGGTGTTCACTAATAGATGTTTTACTGTATATGTGTATGTGTGTGTGTAGTCTTATCTTTTTTTTTAGATAAATGATAAAAGATAAAAAAATTTTTCAAAATTTACTTTCATCATGGATTCAATAACGGTTTGTTTTTCATTTAATTTTTGAAGAAGATCATCACGTTCTTTCGTTAATTCAGTTTGTTTGTCTTGATGGGTTTTTATAGCATGTTTACATTGATTAAATAATGCTTCAAATTTGTAATTCTAAAATAAAATTGTAAAGTTATTATAGAAGTTGAACTGAACTAAGAGCATTTTATTCTTGAAATAAACAAAAGAAAAATAAAACATAGAAATTAGTTCTAGATATTTTTGAAACTTTCATAGTTTATTAGTTTATTGCGACAGTTCCAGATCTTTTGATTTATTTCTATCCTGAAATAAGAATATAAAATTTGCTAGTTTATATGAATGATGCAAAAGGCACACTATTACTACTGTTATATCTTAAGATAGGAATAGTGACAAGATCTGAAACTTGCACAATAAACTATTCTTGTTAAGATCTGTTTCTATGCATGACATTCATTTAAAAAATATCGTAAAAGTGCAATACCTTCGTAGTAATAAGCTGAGGGTACGAACTCTTTTCAAAATATTCATAGCTCATTTAGATCTGTATAATGCATATAGTCTGGACTCAAAAATGATTTATCAGTTGAAGAGTAGATGTATTATGCATTTTTAAACAGTGAATAAGTAGTAGCGTAATTAGACGGGAGCTCAATACACTTACAGAAGGCTTTGAGAGGTCTTCACCCTCTTTGCAAATATGATCAGGAGTTGGGTCGCTCGCCTCCTATAACCTTTCTCTTATCCCATGATGTAAAGAATACCAGAAAAATGACTTGTTGTTAAGTCATCAGATCATTACTAATAATTCTTTAAAACTCAAGAAAAAAATAAATAAAATAAAATTGAACCTTTTCACGAAGTTTTTGAATTTCTTCATGATCTGTTTCATGAGGTAATTGAATGAGATCTTGTTGTGCGGTAAGCTAAAGAAAGAATTAAATTTGTTTTTACTTAAATGACGAAAATCAATCATTTAACTTTTAATGTAAGTTCTTCAATTCTATTTTCTCGTTTTCGTATTTCTTTTTTATGTAAACATTCAAGTTGTTCTTTAGCTTGTCGATCAAGTTTAGTCTGTTCACGTAATTCTGAAAGTCGTTTCATTGATGTATCTTGATATTGTTGTAAAATATTCTAACAAACAAAAAAAAAAACAAAGAATATATGATTTGAAAGAATTCTTATTTATTTATTTTTTATATACTTTAATATGTTCTTTTTCTCGTTCAACTTCATCATAAGCATTTTTTAATTGATTAAATTTATTCTTATAAATAGCAAGTAATTTTTGCATTTTTATCATTTTCTAGAATAACTAATACTTTAAGAAGAAAAAGAATTTTTTAAAATATTTTAATAAACTCACAGCATTATTTTCATGATCACTCTCATCACCACCACCACCATATTCAGATTCAATATCCGATGGTGGCATATAAGTACGTTTTGGTGATACATAAGTCATGATAGAATTAGAACTTTGACTAACACTAAATTGACTGATATCACTTGAAGCTGAATCTAATCGAGAACGATTATTTTCCTTAAAAGAAAAATGAAATTATGAAATAGAAATTTCAAGATGAATAAACTTTTTTACAAGATTATCATCTCGACTAGTAATTGAAGATGTTCGAGTATCAGAATCTCTTGATATAGATACCTATTTTAAAATAAAAAGAATGATATAATTATGAATATTTTTCCAAACATACTGAATCAGATGATGGAATGCTCGGTAATACATTTAAATTTGTTTTAGTAACTTGAGTTGCTAACTTTTCTTTTAAATTTTTAAACATGATGCGATGATTTGAAAAATAAATCGGATAGAAAACAATCTTAATAATAGATGTAGACTGGGTATCTTTTTTTTCCTTTTACTATCCTTGTTGTTACTGTTGTTATTCATCAATTCATTGTTGGTTGTTTTAAAAACCAATCCGATTTTCCGAGATGATATTACCGTATCATACGAATCAATTTGACTTGATCTCATACATTTAAAAAGTGCGCAAAGTAAAGCAAGATAATATTGTTATATTTTATCTTTTTTTTCTCCCTCAACTCAAACTAATGAGATGTCGCCTACAGACTAGATTCTCTTTAAATATAAGTAACTTTTCGAACAGTTCCAAACGATATGTTAATTGTTTTGTAACATACTAGTTTAGTCAAAATGATTGCAACATCGGATATTTCATCAAACATCTCAGCACAGATAAATCATAAAGTCTTGAAATTTTCTTAAAAAAAAAAGATGCACCATTGAATTCTGTATAAACTTCTCATTGGCGTAATTTAAAACTATAGAACTGAATATTTTTATGGACCACATAGCATGTTTCTACCTAGTGTACTAAAGTTGCACACATTGTTTTTACTAATTTGTATTTTTTCCATATGAACCAAATCTTTAATTTTTAAAATAGAACTTATTGCTTGGTCACCTTTGAAAAACTCAATTGATTGTGTAGATATACGAAATTTTCTAATGCTGAATCGTTCGGGCTCTTTTTTGTCATTCAACTTTTGAAATTTTAATATCGATGATAAATAGATTAATTTTATGGTTTAAATTATAAGTAGTGCGAATCTAATGGACTTGCTGGACCTTTTTTGAAAAATAGAAAAGATGCCAGTAAATCTTTAGAAAAAAGTGGTCTATAAATTCAAGTATTTTGATCTTGTATGCATATAGTCAGACTCTTTAGAAACACTTTGTATAGATCCGAATTTTTCTGTCAAGTACTTGTTCAATTCGAAAAAAAAGCTCAGTTGAGAGCCAATCGTCGCACTGCCAATATCGTCCACAACATATCAGTTAAACAAATACGCAAACACTTAAAGGGAATTTTTCGGACTTTTCTTTGAAAATCTAAACCTCTGCAATGTTACACATCTACCTAGGAAAGATCGATCGGTATAGGCACGAAGCTTATTCATTTGAAATAGAAGTTTTGTCATGCAAATCAATGGAATTGATAAAAGTGGTTTTTCAGAGCAGTAAATAAGGTACGACAGAGGATGAGGATCCAAACTTTCCTTGCCATTTTTTCACAAAAAGTAATTCTGGATGAGCAATAGGCTCAGTCCAGCAATGTTCAGATTTTCTAAAAAGGAAATTTCAAAAATTTCGGAGATTTCAAGCATTTATGTTCTGAATTTTACGTTACTTCCTAAAATGATATAATTTCTGAAATTTCCAATATGTCTAAAAACTTTTGATTTGCACTGCTATATAGTTATCGAGCTGGTGGAAATTTCAGAAATGTGGGTAATTTCCTTTTTTGGAAATCTGAACATACCTCTATGTTTAATACTTATTCTTGATGTAAAGGTATTTTTATGTGTAAAGTTAAATCATTTGACATGATTAAATTCTCTTCTTTTATTTAATATGATATCAATAACATAAAATTAACAAAAAAACTAGTGACATTTCGTATTCTGATAAGATATTTTGTTAGACATGAACATAAAAGTAAATGACGTAACATACATAAACGTATAAGAAAAAACCAGAACAAAATAAGAACAAACAAAATTAAACTATTTTCAGTCAATTTTTGATAGTTATACGGAAAACAAGACGGCAACAGCGACTAGGTAACGATCTAATCCTTCTTCGCATCACTATCAAGAATTGATTGAAAATAGTCTAATTTGTTTGTTCTTATTTTGTTGTATTTTTCTTTTACATTTATGTATGTTACGTAATTTACTTTTACATTTATGTCTGCGAAGTATCTTATCGAGATACGAAACGTCACTAGTTTTTTGATAATTTTATATTATTAATATTATATTAAATAAAAGAAGAGAATTTAATCATGTCAAATATCAATTTAATCTTCTTATTACAAGAAGAAAGTTAATTCTTAGCTCCCCATTGACAATCGGAATTACCATTTGTAGAATAATTGTAGAAAATAAAGGAAGCATGGGATTTGAAAACGATAAGAACATTTTTTTTATAGTGAACCTTATGAACTATCGATTGGTAAAAAGAATAATTTTCTTCATCGCTCCGTCTTTGAAATATTGGACCTACAAAATCGATAATTTTGCAAAGAAAATGAAAAAAAATCGAATTTTTCGAAACAAATCGTTCCCTACGTACAGAAGATAAAAATCTTTCGAAATTTCTATGTGATATAAAGTGATAAAAGTGTCTACTAGTAAGTTAGATATATTTTGAATGCATCGCGATAAGTTGACCAATTACACATACTCACGCACATAATCGGCCAAGGAACCATTATGAGGTATCTTTAGAGCAATCAAGAAAAATGGTAATATATGTATTATAAATCTCAGATTATGAGAAGTTAGAATAACATGTATTATGAATTAAATATCTTCAGAAGTTATAAAACAGTTCAAAGCAAGTTAGATGCCTATTGAAGACGACATGCTATAAACACATGCGCTCTTTTGACATTAATTTTTATCGGTTTATTCTCTCCGTTTTCCATAACTTTCATAAGATAGGATAGATGTTGCTTTTTGCTTATTCAATAATGTAATCAAAGAAAAAAAATCAACGTTTAGTGTATTGTTTCATCCCTTTACTCCATCATATAGTTAATCGACCAATTAAATGACCCTACACAAAAAGGTAGACACTCGGTGGATCAGACCACATAATTGTCATACGAGGCATGCTAGTACTCTATTCGTATAGTTATTTTATCGATAGTTCTTTTGAAACCACTGTGGGAGTAAAGGGTTAATAGTAAATTGCAGATATTGAAAATATCTGCTTTTTTAGGAATAACTGAGAAAGAGAAACGAAAAAATCTTGAATTGATTAGCTGTTAATAAAACTTCATGACTGACTATAATACTGCTTTAATCATGGCTGGAAAAAAAATTGAAAAATCAATGTTTGAATATTTCTTTTTCAATGATTGTAAATCATTCAAATAAACTATGTCGTACAACGAAACAGTTTGATTGATGATAATTCACCTTTCTTTTTTATAGAGCAATTTAAATCAATTTTTATACTAAATATTAGTATTTACAAAAGAATGTTAATTTTCAATATTGTGTGTATATTTTTATTTATTTAGAATGATATTTTAATATCTAAGAATGAGAAGACAGTTTTCTTTATTTCCAATAGGCCACAAATAATATAGGAAGACGAATATAAAGTTTCATCAAGATATTTTAATCAGATATCTGAAGACAACTAGTGATAATGATCTATGTAGTACATATAATATAGACTAATAGACTCAACTTAGACTCATTTTACACTAGTATTTTCAATGGAAATCCAAAATAATAAAATATTTTCTTATACTTTGTTTTTGCAAGCAGTATTTGATGACAACTTCTGTATTGAAAGAAAGCCATAAATCTAAGTTTATATAACAAGTAATATCTTTAATTTAGTATTATATACGCCTTCTAAGACTTTGACACCTCAATATAAACTTCTTCAGTATATCTAAACAATTTATAAAAAAGCGTGTATATTAGAAGAAGCAGCTATTCTGTACATTTTGCTTGTGTTTGATATACTTGTTTATTAGAAACACTACTTCATACGACTCACGTTGTCCTTTTTATAATAAATATCAGACCATCCACATAAAAAGAAAATACTTTTGATTGGTTCAAATGTCGTTTTCATTATTCGCGTGGTATGTGGCGTTACTTATTGCTTGCTAAATGTGAACAAGCAAATCAACATTTATCTAAATGACTCAGTTATTCCGGCATTTGATCCATCGTCTTATTCTTTCTATTTCTCGTTAGTTAGTTCTTTCTTTCTGGAAAAGAACTCTCGTCATTTCTAGTTTGTTTATAATAAATACTCTTATTTATTGTAGAGGTCATATTAACATGTCTCGAAATTCTTATATTGAATTTAAAATCCATGCTTTAAAACGTCCGAAAATTAATCATAATTTATCATCTATTGTTCAATTTGATTCAACAACAATATCTGACGATGTTCCACAAGAATTTATTTCCACTTTTGATAATAGTGCCATAAAATCTAGTAATGTTTCTACGTGTACACCTGAACGTTCTATTCCTGTTCAATCCAATACTCATCATGATATTTTTAAATTTAAAAAACATTCTCGTAAATCTGTTGTATCATCAGATCCTATTGTGAATATTTTAAATAATAATTTAAAACAAATTATTATTGACGAATCTAAAGTAAATAATGAAAATGGAACTATTGATGTATATACTATAAAACAAGATCTTAGTAATACATTAGAAAATGATGAAATTTCAATTGAAAAAGATGATATTGAAAATGCTGATTATAATGAAGTACCTATAGAAGAATTTGGTATGGCTGCTATACGTGGTATGGGCTATAATGAAAATATTGGTCTTGGTAAATCAAATAAAAAACAAATTAATATATTTAATCCAGAAATACGACCTCATGGACTTGGATTAGGAGCAGATCGAGAAGTATTAGTAAAAATAAATAGATTAAAACGTAATTTAAAAGAAGCTGGTATTAATGAAAATGATGATTTATATTTTGAAAAAGGAGCTTTTGTTTTTATTGAAAAAGGTTCATATTCTAATTTATATGGTACGATCGTATCGATTAATGAAGATCTTAATCGTATTGATGTTAAATTAACTACGAATGATGATATAAATGAAACAATTTCTATTTCACAATATAATATTAAATTAGTAAATGAAAAAGAATTTCTTAAATATAGTAAATATGTAAAGTAATTTTTTAATTCAGATATTATTTATGACAAATATTAAAATAAATTAATTCCGATTGATATTAATTATTATTTTTTTTTTTTGTAAATATATGTTTTTTTTTCAGATGCTTCCTCAATTGAAAGATTTTAATTGGTATATTGATATGAAATTATTAGCAGGTGCTAATGGTCAACGTATCCAACAACCATCATGTGTTCTTTCTTTAGATGTTTGTAGACAAATTCTTTTTTTCTTAATTAACGAATAAATTGTTTTCTGATTTTTTTTTTAATAGATAAATGATCCAACAAAATCAGATGGTGAAAATGAAAAATCTGTTCAAATTGAATTATCAAAAGAAACACTTAATCTTGTCTTGGATAATTTTACACGAATTCGTGAACAACTTAATATTTTAGCTAAACGAGAATAAAAGATTGTTTTTTTTTATTGCAATAGAAATGTGATTTTTCTCTTATTTTTTCTTTTTATTAATTTGATTTGTCCTTGATGAAAAGATAAAGTTACTTTCCAATGATATTTCGTCTATCTCTAGAGAAAAAAGAACGTAACATGTATAAACATTCAAAAAATCGACGTCATGGCGATCCAGTACAAGTACCTGGCAGTTTAACGGATCAAATCAATCAAGATCGAAATGTTACGAATACAAAAACTCGACAAAAACAAAAACGAAAATATGATGATGATGAAGATGAACAAGTTTGTTTAGAGAAAATATTTTATTTAATAAATATTTATACATAAATTGTATTTTTAATTTAGATTATTGATGATCGTCTATCAAGAAAAATTATTCAACAAGCTCGAGAACAACAAAATGAATTTGATAATGATGAACTTTTAGCTATCAGTAAAGAAGAAACGTAAGAATATAAAATAAGATTAATCTGCACAGATGTTCCGAAGTCACCAAGTTTAAGGAGTCCTCCAACTGATAAATCGCTTTTGACTCGAGGCTATGTGCATTATGTAGACCCAAATGAACTATGAATATTTTGATAAGAGTTTGTGTTCTTAGCTTATTGCTGCGGAGATACTGCACTTTGACAGGTATTTTTTACAATCAATGTCGTTGTAACAGAAAACTAATTTTCGAATCTCGACTTGAAACATTACATACAGACAGACGTAATGAGAATAGTTTATTGCAAATGTTTCAGATCTTGTCGCTATTCCTATCCTAAGATATAGATATAATAATACTTAGAATCTATCGGATCCAAAATGTTTCAGAGCTGGACCTGGTTAACGGAGAATTTTCAGATTCGATCAACCGAAAAATTTCAGACCCATAGAAGTAAGTCAGAAGACTTTAAACTATTCTCTTTAAGGTTTTTCTCTATGCAAAGTTTCTAGTCGAAATTCAAAAATCGATTTTTCTGTTACCACGACATTCATTTAAAAAATACCATAAAAGTGCAGTATCTTCGCAGTAATGAGCTGAGAACACGAATTCTTTCTTTTAAGGATATTCATAAATTATTTGGATCTACGTAATGCGCTTAATATCGTTTCAAAAGCGATTTATTATTTCTAGGACTTTCTTTGTAAGAAGGTTGGGTTTACGACATTGGGAGAGGGTCATCTCATCCGTACTCAGAACACACATGTTAATCTACTATTAATATTGAACAAATATTTTTTTTTGTAGAGATCTAGAATCAATAGAACGTATAAATAAAATTAAAAAAAATCGAACGGAAGATAGTGATGAAGATGATTTAAATGTTCAAGAAGATGATTATGATGATGAAGAAGTTTCAGTAAGAGAAATTCAATTAGAATTGTTTGTTTTTCGATATTATTTATTTCAAGATCGATGAAGAAGATGAGAAAGCACTTGAAGCATTTATGAGTGGTCAACCACGACGTTTACTTGGTGATATTATTGCTGAAAAACAAGCACAAAATCAATCATCACGTAATTAACTGATAATCTAATAATAAAACATTTAATTTTGTTTTATATTTCTAGCTGATAATGATCTTGATCCACGTATTTCCAGTATGTATGAACAAGTCGGTCAAATTCTTGCTCATTATCGAAGTGGTAAAATACCAAAAGCATTTAAAATTCTACCAAATTTAGCTAATTGGGAACAAGTAAATGAAATTTTCTTTTTTTTTTTTTTTTAATGTAAAACATATAAAAATGATTTCTTTTCAGGTGCTACTCATAACACAACCAGATCGATGGACTGCAGCATCTATGTATCAAGCAACACGAATATTTGCTTCAAATATGGATGCTAAAATGGCTCAAAGGTATATTTTCATATAAAAGATCTTCGATTTTTTTTTATTAATATAAGTAGATTCTATAATATTATTTTACTTCCACGTATTCGCGATGATATTGATGAATATAAAAAACTTAATTTTCATCTTTATATGGTAAGCTTTTTCTTTATGACGTAAAAAAAAAGAAAATAATAATTATATTTTATATAGGCATTAAGAAAAGCTTTATTTAAACCAAGTGCTTTCTTCAAAGGGATTATTCTACCATTATGTGAGGTAAAATGTTCTTTTTTCAATAACATGTGAAGAAACAAAAAGAGACTTCAGAGGAAATGTTAGATTCACATCGCATTTTACAAATAGATGCTGTAAATTCTATAAAAAAAAACTTATATTGCATTGGCACATAAGTTCTGAGCATTTGGATCAGTAGAATTATATCACCAATATAAAACTATATTTTAAGGCAACTAATTATACATTCTGATAGCGCTCTGAATTCTCTATCATCCTATGTATTTAAGTCTTGACTTGCATTTATTTGCTGAAAATATATTTTGAAAACAGTGAAGACACCCTCACCCTCAGATTCCTACGAACTCCATTTTTTTGTTCCTTTCTCATGTATTTAAAAGATTTTTATCTATACAATAACCCGTTTTTTTTAGAAAAGTAATTATATATTGTGAGAGCTCTTGAAATGCTCTATCGCCCTGTATATTCAGGTTTTGACTTGAACTTATTTGTTGAGAAATATTTCGAATATTGTCAATGCGAGTGAGAGTGTCTTCACTGTAGTCAAAATATTTGTTCAGCAAATAAATGCAAGTCAAGACTTAAATACATAGGGTGATAGAGAATTCTGAGCGCTATCTGAACATATAATTACTTGCCTTAAAATGTAGTTTTATCTTGACGATATAATTCTACTGATCCAAACGCTCAGAACTTATGTGCCAATGTAATAGTTTAACTTTTATTAATTCACTATAAGTAAATCAACTCTAGTTAGATTGAGTTACAGATAATGGTTAGTTCTTCACATATGCATTGAAATTATGAAATATTTCAATTGAATTTGTCGATATAAAATCAACATTTCAATAATCTTACAAGGAAAGTCCTCCAACTGATTAATCTCATTTGAGTCGAAATTATGAGCATAATATGGACTCAAATGAGCATTGAATCATAGTTTACAGCTGCTTGAAATACTGCACTTAACGGTAGTTTTAAATGAATGTTGTGATTTCCCGTCGGACACACCAGGAAAAATGATTTTCGAACTGGGATTCGAAACTGTGCATAGAGATAGATCTTTGTGAGAACAGCTAATTATAAAAGTTTCAGATCTTTTCGTCATTGTTCCTATTCTGAAATAAGAACGTTGAATTTATGATGTATATGATCAACGTAAAGATCTAAAGCTTTTACAATAAAAACTATTCGCATCAAAGTCTGTCTCTGTGTAAAGGTTCGAATAGAAATTGAAAAAATCATTTTTTCTAATGTTCCTGAGGGAGACGACGGTTTTATATTAAAAAAATTATAAAAATGCAATATCTTGGCAGTAATAAGATAAGAGCTCGATCTGTTATCAAGATATTCATAGCTCATCAGGGCCTACATGATGCATACAACCTTAACTCAAAAGCATCAATCAATTGGAGAACTTCCCTTGTTAATTCATCGAACAAAATACTCAGCAGCTAATCATTCGTTTTTGTTCATTTCACTCAAAACGATTTATCATTTGTTTGAGTCAGCCGGTACTGTCACGTAGGAAGTCGAAATGATTTAATAATAAGATTGATAGGTTTACTAGTTGACATTATCTCTCTTGATAATATTAATATAAACAGAAATATGTTTGCCAGGTTTAAGAGAACGAACTAGGCCTTCTTTTTAGAATTTCTAATGAGATGAATACATGTGATAACGAATAATAGATAGCGGTATAATTATTTATTGACATACTTTACAAATTACTGTTTATCTTATCAATCAAAATATCCATTACAGTTATAATTGTAAATATATTAGAATACAGAGTTGTGAGCCAGTCCATCCAATTAGTTTATTAAATCATGATTAATCGATTAATTGAAATGGCTTCAAAAAATATTCATTTTCCTTTTTGCACTCGAATTTTCATACATCTGCAAGAAGAAATCTTATATTATAGTTGTCTGTATCTATCAGGTTTCTCAAAGATAAATATGCGATATTTATATAGCGTGAAAAAAAAGCTATTTATCCATTAGCTGATTGCTGATATTCAAATCTTAAATTTTCTTCCTCCACCTTTTTCGACAAATCTAACATTACAACGACCGAAATCTAAATTTGATCTTTATCAAAACTAAGTTTAACTCAAGTAACATAATTTTGATTGTGTTTTTTAAAAACCGAAATATATTTCAATTAAAGAAATAAAACTAATAGTTCTTAAAATAACATTGTTTGTGAGATAACATAGTTAGACATTGGACATTTCCAGTATTAGTAAAAAAATCATTATTTTAAGGATAGAGTCAATTCTACGTAAAATACCCAAAAAAACCGCCTAGTATGTCTAGATTTTGATTATTAAAAAGTGGTTTTTCATTGAAAAGCAGCATAATTTTCGGAATCAGCATGCAAAAGGACATTGAAAACTCTATCTTTCATTTGAAAAGACTTCTAGTCAATTTTTATTCCTGTAGGGGAGAACAGCCTAAAAACTTTGCGAATAAAAAGCTGAGGAAGGAGTAGAGTGAAAATTTTAATCAGAGATATTTTGTGATAAAGTGTAGAATTTTCGATGCATTTTTGCATGTTGATTCCGAAAATTATGTTTACTTCTAATAAAAACCAATTTCAATAATCAAAATCTAGAAATATTTGTCGTTTTTTTTTTGAGTATTTTACGTAAAAGTAACCTTGTAATAGCATATTTATAAAATATTCTTCAGTTGGTAAAGACCGATTACAACTCTGGTAGAATCAACCTCATATGATCTACATATACACTTATTCAAAATACTCATACAAAAAATATTTATTTATGATTATCCAGACATTGATGAATGATAATTTCCCAAATGGCTTAAAATGAAAAACCATTTTATTAGAAATTCTTATGTGGTTACATTACCATTATTTATAGAGAAAGAGAGAGATTGATATATTCGTGAGAAAAAAAAAAAGATTAAATTATCCTTTTGTTATTTTAGTCAGGTACATGCACACTTCGTGAAGCTGTGATAATTGCAAGTATCCTTGCAAAAAATTCCGTTCCAATGTTACATTCAGCAGCAGCTTTATTAAAAATAGCTGAAATGAATTATTCAGGTGGTAATTCAATATTTATTCGAACACTTATTGAAAAACGTTATGCATTACCATTTCGTGTTGTTGATGCTCTTGTTCATCATTTCATTAAGTATGTTTATATTATGTTTATTTTATTATTATTATCATTAATAATAGATTTCGTACTGATACACGTGACTTACCTGTTCTTTGGCATCAATCATTACTTGCTTTTATTCAAAATTATCGACAAGATATATCAACAGGTTTGAAAAGTTTTTGATTTCAAAATGTTTTTTTTTTTTCTATTTTTGTTTTTAAAGAACAAAAACAAGCATTACTTGAATTATTACATCATCATTTTCATCATACAATTGGACCTGAAATTCGAAAATTACTGTCCGAATATAAATGTCGTGATGAAGAAGATGAACAATATGCAATAATGGATGAAGCCAATTAAAAAGAATTTCAAAAAGAAATTTTTTGTTTTGTTTGAAATAAAAAAAAAATGGTTAACATCATTACCATGAGATATTTATCGTTTGTATTATAAAAGGAAAAGAGATGCCATAGGATAGGAATAATTATTAGATTCGAGTCAGGAAATTTCTTATTTTTCAAGGACGGATGTCAAATACAATAGTTCATTTAGTGAACCCGAAGACTGTTTTTTTTTACAGACAAAAAATAAGGATAAAATTTAATTATCATTATCGAAAATTACATTTAATCGAATAGAATTTTTTAGTTTTGTTTTATTTTCCGGTAGTTGATTTAGGGTGGGTAGGGTAGGGATTATCGTCTCGTCCTTCTGGACTATTTTTCTCAACAGAAAACGACAAAAAATAAATCGATACAACCTCTAATTTGACTTGTAAACATGTTATTTTTTTTTACTATGATCGTCCCGATTTACAGTAAAAACCGTCATTTGACACCGTTATTTTCAATAATATAAAATGAATAAATACATTAATTCAGCATAAAATAAAAAATATTAATTGTGCTTCATTATTTTAGATAATATTTTCGCTTCACTGATCATGTAAATATTATAAGAAATACACACACATCAAAAGGGAAAAAAATGTGAGTACATGACAAAAAGGAAAAGACCTCGACGAAACAACCAAATGTTGCTTTTATATGCAAGGAAACGAAAAAAAAGGCTGAGAGTCTGACTCTATATAAGATCTGTCTGCTCGCATGGCTATTTCATATAGCAATTAAAGTGCAGAAAAGAAAGGTGAGATACATATGCAGCTAACAAGCTTACTATACTAATAACACTGGCTAAAGACTGTATATGTGCTATATTAATAAATAATAAAAGAAGTTGCTCTTTTTATTATTATTTTTTTGTCTTGGTTCTGTCTTTGTTTTCATTTGTTCCGGCTGTCTAATCCGACAAAACGCACAGGCCCTGACAAGATCTTTTTTCACATTCTTATATATTCATTTGTAAAAGAACGTTTTATGTCATAAATATATAAAAGTGTAATTCGATAATCAAAAGAAAAAAGAGAAAGAAAAAGATGACAGTAACTGCCATCCTTTTTTTTTCTTCTTGTGATTTACAATAGTACTTGAGTCTAGCAATCGAGCATCGATAGGAGGTCAAGCATGCATACGCTATTATATATATATATATATATATATGACTGTATACATAGAACATGAAAAACGAAAAAAAAACACGCAAACTATTTGTAACCAAAAATAAAGCAGGTAGATGTGAAAATAGAATCAAAAAAAGAGAAAGTAGAAGTAAGCAATAATATTTGTTTTTCTTTTCTTCACTCTCTCGTGATTTAACCAAATCATATAATTGTCGCGCAACCGTGACGAGAGTACAAAAAGAAAGGCGTCATCAAGGCTTTACAAGTGAGTTGAAGAAGTAGAGAAAAAGACAATATTAAAAAAATACACATTATTATTTGACTTATCCAACAGGAAATAACATTGTAATTTTGGTATGTTCGGCTGAAAAAGTGATAATAGAAAATCAACAACAAACAACTAGCTATGGATTAGCTATCGCTATCGAACGCAGAATGAAGTGGAAGGAAAAGGATGATTTATCTTGGTGTTGTGTTAGTCGTCGACACAATGACGACGACGAAGACGACATTAAAGATGCTAACAAGCAAAGAGCGAAAGTGGTATTAATGGAGACATCAACAGACAAAGTCTCGTCACCGGTTGAAAAAGTAAAAAAAAAAGAAAAAGAGAAAGAAAGAGAAAGAAAGCACAAAAACATCTTCGCTTCGTTTCCTTTTTCTGCATCTTCATCACCATCATCTTCTTCTTCTTCTTTTTCCTATTTCCTCATTTACGTTCTTTGATAATGACGACTCATCATCATATCTCTGTTTGCCTACCACATACTTGTTCTAACTGAAAGATTTGAGTACTTCGATAATTATCATTAATCAGTTAGTGAAATTCATAATAACATCATTTATTTGATATATTTTTAGCGGAATCTTTCTACAATTATGGAATCGTCAATAAATCCTCGAGGTTCAAAAGAAAATTTAGTAAAAAAATAATTTTTCTTGTATTTAATAATAATCAATCTTTTTTTTTTTTAGTCAAATTCTAATGGAGCTCGTCAAACAACATCAATTAAACAAAAAACTTCACGTTTAGATCGTTCATTATCAAGAACTAAAGATGATAATGAAACAAATATTATACGATCAAGTACAGCATCAAGTCTTAGTGAACAAGCTAAACCTGATGAATTAGCTTCTGGTAACAGACAGAAAAAAAAGAACTTTGGTTTTTTTTTTACTTCTACAAGCTTTTTTTAATTTAGGTTTAGCAACAATGGGATTATTAAATGATAATGATATGAATAAAGTAAAATTCTTTTTTTCTTTTAATTATTTTCATTTTTAAAAATGATCGAAATTTATTTTAGTTGAATACAACATTCGAGTCATTGGGTTCATCAAATGAATCAGTAGAACGAAATACTTCTAAAAATGAATCATATAAAGTAGAGAAAGAAATTGAGTAAACAAATTATTCAATGTTTATTTTTCTTAGCTGCAAAAACAATCATATCAAAGTGCAAAAAAGCGTATTACATCTGAATTAGCAAATGTGCTGAAAGACTCATCTGTTGTTATCGTTAGTGATTGGCTTAAAGTTCGAGGAACATTAAGAGATTGGACTAAACTATGGGCCATACTTAAGCCCGGCCTTATGTTACTCTATCGAAATCCGCCATCAAAAGTTTGTCCTTGGTTTTTTTTTCTTTATCATATTTCTTCATTTTCTATTAATAGAATGGCGTTTGGGTCGGTACTGTTGTTTTATCATCATGCGAAGGTTAGTTAATTTAGAAAAAAAAAACCTAGGTATCATTCTCTTTTTAGCTTTATAAGATTTTTTTATATTAGATTATTAAGACTATTAGAACACAAGATTGACATAATATAAGTAAAACTTCGTTGTGTGATTTAAACTGTGTTGACTTTTCCATTTTCCGGAAATGACAAAGGAAAAAGCTTATGAAACTTTATTAACGAATTTAGTATTATTATCGACATTACTCAAGTATTTGCCATTAGTAACAGAGCGTGATCACCATAACTCGAGATTGTTACGATTATCTTCATTGTCAATTTTTTCGAAACTTCTTAACTATGATCAAATTTTATTCATGAAAGTTATGAATATTGAAATAGCGAGATATTCAAAGGTCATGTGAATTAATTAGATGTTCTATAAATCAAATGATCTCATTTGTTTTGTTTTGCATAAATCCAATAATTGTAATTAATTTATATTCAATAAATGTTTTGTATAAATTACACATAGCCATAATCATGATTAATATTTTGAACTAAAAATAGTAATCAAAATAAAAATAAATTTAAGATATAAAATTCTTCTTGTTCTTTTTTTTTTTTGTTTTGTGAATATAACAAAATTATATTTTGTATTAAATTTTTCTTATTGCACTTGAGTTGTTCATTACTAACTTCATTAGATAAATTTTGTTATTTTATATGAATATAGTTTTCTTTTTTTCGCTTGAATACGTTCTCGTCAATTTTTTCTCATAGAATCAATATATAGAATTGTTGTTAATAATGCATCTAATTTACGCAAAAGAAGTCGTAACAAATCAGAGTAGGTTTGTACAGATCTGTGCAAGAAAAATTATTTGTTCAATTGACCTGTATCGAAAAATTGCTGATTTGCTAATCGTTGAATTTTCATGAATCGTAATTATGATTGGAATCCTTGTTCATATTCGGCACCACTCATCACATAGAAAATGATCGCATGTAAAAGATAACATTTTGGAAAACATTTTATTTTTTCTGAAAATAGATTGAATTTAAATGTTACACAGTAAAAATAATAAATATGAAATGGTCTCATAAAATTGAGTCTTAAAAGAATTCACATTTTTTAATTTATTTACATAGAAGAAATTTATTTATTTTTAGTTATTCAACGTCCATCAAAAAAAACAGGTTTCTGCTTTAAAATTTGGCATCCTCTTGAAAAATCTATCTGGGCACAAAAAGGACCAAATAATGAACAATTTGGCGCACTAACATTTCCACTTCCAATGAATTATCTTATTTGTCGTGCATCAGATGAAACAGCAGGTTAATAAAATATTTTTGTTTGAAAAATTAAAAGAAAAAATTCTTTAAAAATATTTTCCAGGACGTTGTTGGATCGATGCACTTGAATTAACAATGAAATGTTCAAAATTACTTAAAAAACCTTATTCAACTTCAATACAAAGTGATGATTTAATAATAAATTCTCCAATTATTTCAACTCCATCAACAACAACTAATGATGGATCATATTTAACTACAAGTTTTTCAGACAATGATTTTGAATTAGGTCGCATAACAACAAAAGAAGGTTAATTTATTTATAATTTTCTATAAAAATAAATTATTAAAAACAATTTTTTTCTTTTTATAGACGATGATCGTATGAGTGATGCAAGTGTTGATGTAAGTAAAGCATCAAGAAGTGGTTCAAGTCATTCAGAAAGTTCTCAAGATCTTCTAAATGATGATGAGAATGAAACACCATATGTTGCAGCACCAACAGAAGAACTGGGAGAAGTAAAAAATTTAAGAAATTATTCCTATAAATAAATAACTACGTTTTTTTCTTTTTTACTTTCTTCAGCTTGGTAATGCTGCACAAACTGAAGAAGTAGCTGAAGAAAATAAATCTCTTATAATGCATTTATTAAAACAAGTTCGTCCAGGAATGGATTTATCAAAAGTCGTTTTACCAACATTTATATTAGAACCACGATCTTTTCTTGAAAAACTTTCAGATTATTATCATCATTGTGATATTCTTGAAGAGTATGTTTATTGAATTTGTTTTTTTTTTCTAAGAATAAAAAATTAAATTAATATTCTAGAGCTGTTAATTCTCCTGATCCATTAATACGTATGAAAA